GAATTTGCTTAAATTGCTACTTTGCCTTCAAGAAATTGCAAGAAGTTGTAGCACATACGATCATCGTCGACGATTATGTTTGTGGTGTAGTAGTAATCAAAGCGACTGATATGCAATGTTGGAGAGACTGTTCCAACACCTAAGAAGGTCGGCAGATCACTCCCCTTCTACAGAACATAGAGCTGAGGTCGAGCTAAAGGTGGCTGTGCCATAGGTCGTAGATCTAAGTCACTGAAATCTGCTGAGGATGAAGAGGACTCGGCCCAAGAAAGTGTAGTGTTGTACCTAAACTCCCTTTGGATGTTAGAAAGTTTACTTTGTACCTTAGGGCCTCAAAGTATGGTAAAAGGGTGCCAATTTATCATACATCTAGTTTGTACTAGCATCAAATACCCTGAACACTGCAAATGCCCGGTCAAAGCAACTAGGTTGACAAGAGCAAGAAGATTGTAGGCTAGTGCTCAAGTTGCGCAAAGTTGCCCAAAATGCCTGTGACAAAGAGGAATAAGGGTGAAAACAGAGATATAGGCCTCAAGCATATATAACCATTGACCCGTGGGATAACCGCCGAAGTAGCTGATGGACTAGCCAGTAATCAGTAATTGGTAACAAGTAACTGGGGACTGTAACCGGTAACCACCTACTCTCACTTTTACTCCTGCACCTACTCTAACACCAACTCCTATCCCTATGCTTGTTCCTACTATCCCTATTCTTATGCCAACTCTTGTTCCTGCTCCTCCTATTCCTGTTCCTATGGTTACCTGTTCCTTGAAGATTGCTTTGTTCCCAAGGAACCCCCAACAAAGTTTAACCCAAAAGAGAAAAATGAGTCCTCTGGTCTTGATCCTTCTCCATTTTGATTGTTGGTGGGCTCGTTGGAAAAAGCTCAGCCCCGTCTACCCTCTATCATAGGAATTTGGGAAGAAGCCACCTCAATATTCCCTAAAATCCACAAAGAGGTAGCCCAGAATGCCAACATTGTGAAAAAACATATGCATGTCCGTGATGTAGATTGATACTGAGGCGCCATTGGTATTTCTAGAAAGTCTAGGACCATGAGCACCTTTTAGAAACAAACAGCATCCAAAACAAAGCCCGGAAGAGCATGAATTCCTGCTACAAAGATGACCCAATCTAGCTAGAGAAGAAAATCCTTTTGCATACCGTCAATTCGCCCAAATCTAGTGCCAATAATCACCACTACTTGAAGATCTAGACCAGATCTACAAGCCCAAATCCACTACCTTGGGAAATTAGGCCAAGGATCAAGGCGAAAAAGTGAAAACCCCAAAATGTTCATTCGACCAAGCCAAGAAACATTGTATCTCTTCAAATACTGCACGGCTTGACGAACTCTATACCTTGTTGGAAAGAGGAGCTTTAGACCTATCCAACACGCCCAAGATTAAACTAAACCACCGCAAGACGAACAAGAAATTGATTCCCAAAGTCTGTGGCCAAAAGAAAAAGAGAGAAATGATGCTTCCGAAAGTGTTGTGTGTCACACCGGGTTCACCATTTGTTAGGGGAAGGAAGGGTTCCTCCCCCAACACTCGCTCAAACACAAGAAATGCTTCAATGCTCTATGCAACCCCCCTGCAAGGGTTTGATGGGGAATATTCTAAAGACCAAAATATTCCTTCTCTCTCTCTCACTCTCTCAGTGGCCACACCCTAACACTACACCTTGCCCATCCTAGGCAGCATGCCCCCCATTGCCATTCATTACACCCCACTCATCTTGGGAACTAGAGCCATGCCCATCTGCGGTTTGCCCTTTCTGGGCACCACCCTTTATGCCCTGGTTCCTGCAGTGAGTGAGTGTGATGCTAGGAGTGGTGTTGTCCTATACCTTTTACCAGTCTACCTTACACAATTCCATAATCGTCACATGACTTAGGAGCAAAGGGTTTTTTATCACTTTTGCAAATGACAACCCTACCCTGAATGATTTTGCCATTTCAATGGTATTGCTGAAGTAAAGCGCTTTACAATCGCCATCTTGAACACGGACAATTCTCACTCCACCAGCCATTGCTATCACTTTAAACCCTAGGGCTTTTTCCCACCACTTTTGCCTAACCCTAAGTCTGAATACGAAACTAATTTAACCTTTCACCTTGGATGAAGATATGAAACTTCTTTGATATGTTACTAGCTTCTAACATAATGTTTATAGATAGTAAATTTTCTAAAGTTGTTTTATATCTGTGTTAAACGAAATGTGACATAATTATACCCCCTTTTATTTTTAAAATAAATTAGATATAAAAATCTTTTTAAGAGGTAAACTTATGACCTTTTTGAAAGCCATTATGAGTTCTTGGGATATAGGAATAGGTATATTAATTGGGGTTTGACCTTACAAAACCGTTTTACTTTATCAACTAAAAAATAATTCTTCTTTTTTTTATTATATATTTTTTCCATTTTGGAGTCATTACCAACAATCAAAATTTGAATGAAATATATAATAGTTTCTACCACTGATTCAAATCTCTCTTCTCCTATGCCATTACAGCCAGCACCAATGGCCATGGCTAGGGCCAACACTAGTATGCAACTAAGGCCATGGAATGCACTTTGCCATGACAAGTACCATAGCCAATAGAAGCCAATTCTAGGGCATGGGCCAGTGCCAATATGCTGTCCAGTTCCCATCGAACTGATTTCATTGTAAAACTTTGATAAGATATAAAAGACAAAAAAATATGATTTTATAAAATATTTATAAGTGCCTAAACCATGCTATAAAGCCGTGGGTGGTTCCAAACAAATCTTGGTGCATTGTTTTCTTAAGGTTTTCTACCTTGGTTAATAATGTCTAAAATTTAAGAAACCAGGGTTGAACCACTTATAGACATCATGATCTAGCTTAACCTGACTCTGAATCTTCTTTTGTAAATCAGATATGTATGACCAACTTCTTTTTGTCCAAATTTTTGTTCAAAGATAGCAACTCTAACATAAACCCCCCACCCCAATGGTTTCTCTTAATTATTTTCAAAGGCCTCTCCTTTGGAGGGCTTCCTACTCTTCTCATTTGCCTAGTTTTAATTATAAAGAAGTCAAACAGCAGAAGGAGTCACTATGGCCACAAGAACACTAAGAGGTTTTCTAGTGAGGAGGAATGTATTAAAGGCAAAAATGGAACTTAAAGTTGATGAAGTGAATCTATAAGAATAAAGTCTTAACTAATATAGAATTTATTCATTTATGTGTAAAATTCAATGTTATGCCTAGAATATAAGGTTTTCTAAAATTTAAGAGAGATTTAATTTATTTATTTTGATTTTATTTCATTGGAAACTTAGAAAAAGAAATTTGACTACTTATAATTTAAAATAATTATTTAAAATTAGATTCTTGCCAGGAAATTTATTCAACTTAAACCAAGTATGTATATATTTGATTTTTTTATAATAATGTTTTTAGTTAATTGGAAACCAGATATGATAAATGCTCTACAGAGATGTAATATATATATATGGAAATTCTATTATTTAGAGAAAAACATTAAATGATAATTTTAATATAATTAAAAACTTACTAAGATCTTAAATATATTTTAATTAACTTTATTAAGTTTTAAGTTAGAGGGAAAGAAGAATTTATAACAAAAGATTCATGGTATAGTTGGCAAAGTTAAACATATACTGATAAAATATATAAAATAAATAATGGTTATATTTATTTTGATAATTTAGATTTAAATCTATATCCATATGTGAGGTCCAAAAGTATAATTACAACGATGTATATTAATATTAATATAGCAGGATTATAAGCTAGGGGCTTTAGGCTAATTAATATGCACATTTCCATATTCCATTCTTATATTTTATAAAAGGGCCTATAAATAAAAGTGCACCCTTTTATCAAGTTGATTAAGGGTTTTGAAATATTTAGTTGAATAATATTAGGTTTGGGAAGTCTAAACTCATGAGCTTACAAATATTTAATATGCCAATCCTCTTCTCAACCATTAAACATAAGTCCTGGATCAACTGCTTTTAGGGCTGGAGCCAAAGCCGAATGGATTGGATGGGATAGTTTCTGGTCTTGATATTGTGGCATTATTGTTATTCCTAGTGCTTGCTACATTGAATTGGTGATGAGCATATCTTTGGCAATTGTTTGATGAGCTACCTGTTGTCATGAGTGCAGATTTTAGTGCTGCGGGCCTCCATTCGGGATGGATTGATTTGATGTGGAGTGGACATCGATGTCTCTGAGAGAAGTGCGTACTCATCGTAAGCTCCATAAGTTGGAATTGATATGTTGGTTGGCCAGGCTGCTAGAATATCAACGCCTGGAGCAGCGATATCGGGCTACAAACAATCGCTCGTGTAAGTCATGCATGAAACAATGCTTTGCTTTCTAAGGATCACCTTTATGATACTTGCATCCAAGCCAGTCAAGGAGAAGGGAAGAGCTTTCGATAGTATGGCGCTCAAGAGCTAGGACGACTTGGTTGTGGACCTCGATCATGCTGGCTGACACAACAGTGAAGTAAGAGTGACTCTGGATCTCTTCTCGCGGATCAAAAGCCAGTATCTTCAACTATGGTGGCAGCGCTCAAAGCTTCCGGGAGCAAGTGTTTGGTTGATCCATGCGGAGGCTTACCAGCACAGCCTGATTGAGCGCGAATGAAGCTTGCCTAGTGGACGCGTATGGAAGGCGCTGAAGATCCAGCGGCTCCCAGCAGGTATTCGACTCCATTCCCGTGAAAGATCCACTAACTTGGACGGTGCTGGTCGCTGGTGAGATCTGGAGCTTGATCCCCACATGGAAAAGAGGACAATATAATTTCACGCAATTAAAGAATATTTTAAAATATACTTTGCTATTCTAGGTATATTCTTTACAAAAGCATCTACGTCAGGAATGTGTCTATCTAAATCATACAAAACCTTAGTTACTATTATGAATCCCAGCTTGCCAACAGCAATTTTTAGACAAACAGACAACAATTTCCAGACCAAACTGACAACCAAGTGAAAATCACACAAACACGCTCTGTTTATATATTTATTCTTCGCAACAACTGCACAGAGGCTTATCTACACACAAGCGGCCACCATTTTATCTACAGAGCCCACGCACCACGACGCTTGGACTCGTCCTCGCTCTCTCTCTTGCGGCGACGATCCTCCTCTTCTTCCTCGCGACGTTTCTCCTCACGATGGCGGCGGCGAGACTCGTCCTCTTCCTCGTGGCGCCGCTTCTCGTCTTCTCGACGGCGAGGATCTCGCTGCCCGTCGCGGCGGCGCGCAGCCGAAGACTCGGAGGGAAAGATAACGGATTCCCTCTCGTGAGCGCGCTGGACCTGCTTAGCGCGCTCCTCGTCCACGTTTAAGATGCGAGAGAGAACACGCAGAGGAATGCCCTGGTAGACGGAGTTCCTTCCAGACATGTAGGAGATCATCGGCCTGAGATCATTCATGGAAGCATTAGAAGCTGGAGAAACAAAGCGAAAGAAATGCTCACTTGTCCGTGGTGAGGAAAGAGACGTAGTGAAATCCTTCGCTTCCGGCAATCTTCGTCGACGGGAAGAACGCCGGGATGACAACGAGGGATCCCTTCTCAAGATCGGTGTCGAGAGCCCTCTCTCCATCGTTAGACACAGCCTCGATCTTTCCACGTCCTTCCATAACGTAGAGGATCTGATGAGCACGGAACCAGTTCGGAGAAACCATAGCGTCCTGAAACACAAGAGATACATGAAGATCGCGAAGACAAATGAGAATCTTTTGGTACCTGTTCGAGCTGCACGCATTCCATTCCAAGTCCGAGCTGCTTGAGAACCGGAAGCTTGTAGCTGTTTAGCTCGCGGAGCTCACCACCATCCCGGACGCGAATGTCAGGATTCGTTTTGCCGAATCGATAGATGAAGTTCTGGTAGAAGGTGTTATCTCGCTCTTCCTGGTCTGGGAAAGTGATGTCCTTGTCGAGTCGGATGATTCCCATCTCGCTCTGGCTTTGAAGCAACTCCTTGACAGTGCTCTTGTCCATCTGCCAGGCGCGAGAGAGAACCTCGGTGCTGAATCCGTGGATGACCGCTCCATATCCAGATTGCTCGCTGCGTTCACCACGTTGATCCTCCCGACGCTGATCCTCGCGACGCTGGTCCTCCCGACGCTGGCGGCGCTGCTCCTCTTCCTCCTCGCGGCCTCTCCTTCGCTGGTCCTCTTCCTCCTCGCGACCCCTCCTTCGCTCTTCCTCCTTGCGCTGCTGACCTTCTTGCTTTCCTCCAGCCAAGTGAAAAGCCTGCAAAGAAACGCAAGCAAAGATCATGAATGGAAAGGAAATATGGATGAAATTTACTCGAAGGCTCGCGGGACGAGTGCTCTCGGTAACGTCGGCAAGTCCAACGATCTCTAGATCTCGGTCTTGATCGTTGTACCACCAGACGACCACTCCCTGCGGGACTGCAACGACATCACCCTTCTCAACTTTGAAGGTGGTTTCTTGACTACGACGATCGCCACGAGAGCTGATGACTCCAACTCTTCCACATCCTGCATTGAAGAACACATTTGGTTAAGGAAAAGTTGCCGTCTGTAAGAACAAGGAAGAACAACGAAAATTGGTTGAAGAACAAGGAACTGATCAAGAAGAGAGAGATCAAAAGAGGAACTGATCAAGAAGAGGGAGATCAAAAGAAAAAAACAAGAAAATTTACTTTCACCACGATTGGAACTCCAGGAATTAAGGATGGCAAGGAAAGAAAAATTTATGAAAGGAAGATCGAACCATCAAGAAGATAGTCTTGACGTTTACCTCGAGTAACGAGCTGCATTGAGGGAGCATCGATGTAGGAAGGGAGCCAGAGGCCGCGGCGCTTGAGAGTCGTCCTACACGCAGCGACATTGGCGTCCTCAAACACGCCCGATCCACGCCCGCCCCACACCTCGAGCTTGCCCCCATCGGATTCCAGCTCCACGCGGGGCTCCTGGGGCTTCAAATCCTCGAACATCCGCTGGTGGCGCTCGCGCTGCCGACGATGCTCGTGCCGCTGCTGCTCATCCTCGCGGCGCGCAAACGCCGCGGCATTGATCACCAGGAGCAAGAGGAGAATCTTCATTCCAATCGCCATTGCTTGATCGAGAAGGAGAGCACTGGGAGGCAGGATGAGAAAGAATCGATCGAGGAGGGGAATTTATTTGGAGCCGGGACGAATGCATGCTCGAGATCGCCCATGCATTGCGCGACGTGGCGGGCGCTAATCAGATAAACCCTAGCTAAAACCCTAAGAGTCAAACGAGAAAAATAAAAATCTCCACTGCCTGGAACATTCTATTCTGGAATTTTCTAGGGTTTGCGGAAGGAGAGGAACGAGGGCAAGCTCGCAATGGCGGCCGCGGCAGCCACGGCTGGGCGATTCCCGGCGCAGCAGAGGAGCAGCAGCGCCATCTCCGCGCAGCAAGGATTCGCCGGCTCGATTGGAGCGGCGTCGTGCTCGTTTCCTTCTTACAAGTAAGAGAGCTCTCTGTTTGCTTGTTTCTTATTCGCGATAATCCCTCAGGAAGGATGCCTGTGGATTGAGCTTCTCCTGCAATGGAATCCTTTCCACGATGCCTTTCAGTGTGCGCAAGCCACTGCAATCACGGCAGTGTCGTCGCAAGCGGCTCATAGCTCGAGCAGAAAATGTAATATTTTCTACTTCGATCTCCTTTCATCTTTTGATTGCTTCTGGGATTTCGCAGGAGTACTACGACATTCTTGGCGTGCCAAAGACTGCTAGCAAGGCGGAGATCAAAACCGGTAAGTCGGGGCTATCCAATTTTCTCTTAAGGAGTTAAGAACAGTACGCTTGATTTAGGCATTTGTTTGGAGCAGCTTACAGGAAGCTCGCACGGCAGTTCCATCCGGATGTAAACAAGTGAGTGTTCTACATTGCTCCTGTGGGAGTTCTAAACACTTGGATTTGTGTACCAGAGAACCAGATGCAGACAAAAAGTTTAAAGAGATCAGTAATGCGTACGAGGTAAGCTCACATTTCTGCTTTGGTGATGGGCTTTGTCTAAGATGCTTTTTGGTGGATAGGTTCTGTCTGATGACGATAAACGATCCATCTACGATAAATATGGTGAAGCTGGTTTGAAAGGAGCTGGAGCTGGAGCAGTGAGTCTTTGAACTTTGTTGTTATTTTCCTTACTCCTTGCTTGCTTTGCTCAGGGCTTTTCGAATCCATTTGATCTCTTTGAGGCGTTTTTTGGTGGTATGGGTGGTGGCATGGGGGGTATGGGAGGTCGGCAAGCTCGGAACCGGCCAATGCAGGGTGACGACGAGAGATACGATTTGCAATTGGAGTTCAAAGAGGCGGTCTTTGGCACCGACAAGGAAATCGAAACAGTTCGCCTCGAGTCATGTGCTACGTGTAATGGCAGCGGGGCCAAGCCGGGGACAACACCTGTGAACTGTAGCCAGTGTGGTGGCCAAGGACAGGTGGTCTCCACGGCTCAAACACCCCTGGGGATGTTTAGACAAGTCTCGACCTGTCCTTCCTGCGGGGGAACTGGCCAAACGTCCACACCTTGCAGTACCTGCTCTGGCGACGGCAGAGTCAGGAAATCGAAGCGGATAAATCTCAAAGTTCCAGCAGGAGTGGACTCGGGCAGCAGGCTCCGTGTGCGGTCGGAAGGAAACGCAGGCAAGAACAACGGTCCTCCAGGCGATCTGTACGTGTTTATCAAAGTCCGATCGGACGCGGAGCTGAAGCGTGAAGGGAACAATATTGTTATCTCGGCAAAGGTGTCGTACATCGACGCCATCCTCGGCACGACCATCAAAGTTCCCACCGTGGACGGCCCCGTTGATCTGAGAATACCTCCGGGGACTCAACCGGGCACCACCCTCGTCATGTCCAAGAAGGGCGTCCCGATCCTCGGCAAGCCAACCTTGAGGGGCGATCAGCTAGTTCGCGTCCAAGTGGAGATCCCGAAACGTCTCAGCAGCGACGAGAGGAGACTGATCGAAGAGCTTGCAGCGGTAACAAAAGGAAATTTTGCGGGAACCAGGTAACTCGCGATCTTTCCATTTCCATTCCACACCTCTCTTTAGTGTGTTTACGTAGATTCGTTGCCCTTTGCAGCTGACACACGCGTGATCATGATCTGCAGGGTATGAACTAGCACAACAGTTTTTATCTAAGATTCTTCGTTAAAAGCAAAAGGATAGAGAGGAGGAGGGGACCACCCTTGAGAAAGTAGAAAAAGCTCGACAGGTATTCATTTCTGATTTGGAGTTGTCAAGAGAGGTGCTTGCTTTTCAATTATCTTCTTAACGTTTTCTTTCCAAAGTCAATGCATCACCTGTGTCAATGTAGCGTTTGCAGCGTCCAGGGACAGGAGATGGGCAGCAAAGTTGCAGCTAGAGACAACTGGCCGACTCAAGCCGCCGCTTTTCAATGATGCCAGCGGCAGTGATGGTGGCGGCTGCTGTTCCTCCGGCCGCTGGCTCCTCCGCCTCCTCGACAGGGACTCCACTATTTGCTCGGCCGCCGCGACGCCGCTCTCGTACGCGCCGTGCACCGTCCCCGAGAAGTCGGGGCTGCTCGCCTCGCCAGCAAAGTAGAGCAGCTCCGACGCCGGCATCGCCATCCTCTCGAAGAGATCCGACCCGTTTGGAGACGGATCGTTGCTGTAGCAGCACAGGAAGTTCTCGTCCAGCGACCACCTCGAGATGAGCGACGACACCGGGTCCGGGGCCCCGGGGAGCATCGCTCGCACCTTCTCCATGGCAAAAGCGGTCGCTTCCTCATCGCCCATCCGCTCGATGCGCCTGGAGAGCTCGCCAACGGGCATGTAGACGAGAACCGCGCGGCGTAGCGTCGGGTAGAGGCTGAGGAAGTAGCTGCAGCCGCGCGGCGCGCCGGTGGCGCAGCCCAGGAACTCGGCGTCCTCGTCCCAAAACAGCGACTCGAAAAGCAGCGCGATCTTGTTCTGGTGGCCGACCTCGAGGCTTGAGATGGCGTCGCGCTTCCACTCGGGGAGCTCGGGTTGGAAATCGATTACATTGCTTTGGAGGATCCCCAGTGGCACCGCTACGATCGCCGCGTCGGCTCGAATCTCAATCCCATTCTTGCATGATACCTGGACGTGGGGTTTGCTGCAAATGCCCAGACCGGGCATTTGCTGCGTGACCCGGACAGCTCGGTGTCCTAGCCGGATGTCGATGCCGCGGGCCAAGGACTCGACCAGCTGCGAGTAGCCCTTGGAAACCAGCAAATGCCCGCCCTCGTGAAACTCTTCCTCGATCCAGCTCTTCGGGGAGATTCGTGACGAATCGGCGGCAAACCAGCCCTCTATCCTGCACACGTAGAAGCCCAGAATCTCCTCGTCGACGCTGCCCTGGAGCTTGTGCTCGGCCACCATTCTGTTGATCGTGTCCTCGAGGCTAGCGTCGGATTCGTACCGCGCGTCGCGCCGCTCGGCCTCCACGGCTGCCCTAAACCATGACTCAAACTGCCGTACCGTGTCGCGCGGTATCCGTACGCCGTCGCGGGTGTAGAGCGCGAAGCCGCGCTGCACGTCGTGGTCGTAGAGCAACGATCCCTCCCCGGCGGTCTGGTGCGTGGCGAGCTGAAGGACGTCCAGCGCCGCGGTGGCGATGGGATTGTGGCCCGGGGTGGCGCCGTGGATCCACGACGCGCCCATGTCGACGGGCACCGCTGTACCGCCGGGGGTGGTAAGAGAGCTTTTGTCGGTGTGGATCCGCCCGCCAATCCTGGCGCTGGATTCCAGGAGCGTTACCTCGATGCCGCGGTCTTGGAGCGCCCGTGCCGCGGCAATGCCGGCAATGCCTGCGCCGATGATCACCACCGATGGAGCTGGGGACGAGACCGGGCCTGGAGTGGAGTATTTGGGGGAGTTTTCTTCCATTCGAATTGGCGGAGATGAGGAGAATCGCGAGGAGGAAGAAATCGGCGGCGCCAGGGGAGTGGAGGACAAGAAATCTGTGAAGATTCCTCTCGCAGGGCCCGGAAATAGGCTCAAGACCAGATCACAGAGAGAGAAAGCGCGCGCGCGCGCGTGTGATTCTCCCCTGTTCTTGGGCTCTTCACTCTCCTCTCCTCTTTTTATTTTTTTCCTTCTCCTTTTCTCTTGGGCGCCCTTAACGCGATGATCTTCGTCGCTCTCCTTTCGAAGCGAGTAAACGCGGGATTTTTGGATCGTCTGTCGCGATCAATTGGCTCCTCTGGACTGGAATTGCCCCTTCAACTCGATCGATCCACCACCACCCACTGTGGCGATCCTTTCTTTTTGTTTGTTCGTACGTCCAAACAAACAGCTTGTAAGTGAACTAGAGAGAGAGACACGAGGAGAAATTTACAACCCTTTGCTTTGGTCAGAGGTCTCATTCTCTCCAGGGCTTTTTATAACCCATCCCCGCGTTACCTTTTGCGGCCATATTTTTAAACTAAAAAATTAAAGAGCTGGGAATTACGGAATTTCTTTCCCTTTTCCAAAATTCCAGAAAAACGTTTTACACACCCTCCCACACGTGCTCCACAAGAAGCCCTAGAGACGCTTCTCAGTTGGGCACAAAAAGATTTAATTATATAATATATATGTTTTGCGACCCAACGTGTCTACTTATATTTCCATCCTGTATTCCTTTAAAATCGATCATGCATTGTTACAAGGAAGGAATCTCGGCAAAAGCTGGCAAGCAACAACAAGAAAACAAATCCCGCGCTTACGCTTACGCAAACATTTTTTCCTTTTTCCTGTATTCTTTTACTTGCTGAGTTTGGATTCTGATTTTTTCATTCCACTTATGGTCTTGTTATTTTCTTGGCGTCTCAAGACTAGTGTTCAAGCTCAGACTCACTTGACATGTGTGGGGCACTGCTGGTCTAGTGGTAGAATAGTACCCTGCCACGGTACAGACCCGGGTTCGATTCCCGGGCAGTGCACTTTTAGTTTGTTTTGTCCTCTTTTTAACTTTTTGACCAAGCTTTTGGCCTGGGAAGAGAATCTTTGAACTACTTTTTACGAGGAGCATGAGGTGGGGATCTTCTCTTTGGCCAGCATTGCGAGAATAAGAAAACAAAAGATAAGTAAATATCTTTGTTGTTTATGAAAGACCCGGGCATTAGACCTGTATCCTAAAGAAACGAGTAATACTACTATACTGTCTAAAGGATCTTCGAGGAACCTTGGAGGTTTCATCACTGAATCCCAACTAATATTCTAACACTTTTAAAACTCAAACATAGATTGGTTTTTAATGTTGTTATTACAGGCACTTCTGATGCAAACTATATCATTTCACTTTGTAAGCATGGTATTAATATATACCAAGTTCATACACAAGATTAGCAGAAGGCTCATCTAAATTGCAAAGCCTAATTAAGATTGTCAATAGAATGTCTTGTAACAACTTCTGGTGGAGATAGCTTTTCATTGGCTGTGTAATGACAAGGGGAGGTGGTCCTTCTCCACTTGCTACACAATGCTCTCTCTATAGCTGGGTTGCGAGGAAACAACACTTCAATATGTGGGTCACAACATATGGATGTGAAGTATGGGGACCATGCATTTTAGCAATATGTTGAGCACAGCTAGAGATATCATGACTTTTGGACATGGGAAAAGACACCTTATGGAATCTTTTGCATGGAGATAGGACTAGTCCTAGTGGAGATCTAAGCCTGGAAAGAAACAACGCAATTTATTCTCACAACCAGACATGAGACTACGGATCGATGTGTGGTTATTGTGATTGCCAACTCCACCAACAAACTCCAAACTGGATGGTGGACTAAACAGCATGGGAATTCACTTGGAAGTGCTCCTCATTCAACCAGCCCCTCATGCATGGGTTGAGTTTGCTCTCAAAGGATGGCTTGCAAAGGCTGATGCAAAACCACTTTTCCAAGAATACTTGCTACACATCAACCTGGACTCCCACTATATCATTTCATCAGTCCCAACGCATGTAGAATTTTCCTATGCTACAGAACTGATGCACACCATCTCCATATTGTGACAACTTGGCTCAAGTCACAATTAACTCTATGAGAGCATTGAGACTGCCTGCTTTGCTGGCTTGAAAAAGATCTCTAACATGTGATCTACCAGTGTTTGACATATCTAGAACTACACCTTTACTTCCCCATACTCAACTTTCACCCACCTTACAATCTTGTGACATTTGCAGATGCTCTCAAAGCCATGGAAAAACACCTTAATTGACACAATGAACTTAACATTTAGAGAGATATAGTAAGTGTTAGTATAGTCTCATGCCTAACCAGGTGCTGTGGTGACTCAAAACATTTATTTATCTATCTATTTATCTATCTATTTATCTATCCATGATTAGAGGAAGAGTTGACATGACAGCTGGAAATTAAACCAGCCTGGGATATGTAAAACAAAAAAGTCAATGAGTTGATTGAATGAGTTATACGTTTCCTCAATTGGACCATGAAAGAGACTCCATCTGACATCTTGTGCGCTTCTCGATTGAGAACTTTCGAATGCTACCTATATATTATACATACAAGTGGTAAGCCTATAAGAACCTACATGATGATATGGTCTAATGTCATGGATCTATGGTTTGGAGTGTTTCCACCCTAATTTGCGAAATTGCATCATCTCAATTGTGATATGTGAGCTATCATACCCAAAGTGCTCAATTCAAGAGTGCAATATCTGTTAGTAATAAGATGCAACTATGCTCCTGTCAAGGCCCTTAAACCAAGTGCTGTGCTACAACATTTATTGCATGCTCATTCAATTTTGTGCCAGTTGATTTCTAGTTGTTCTTCTATCCAAAGATTAAAAACTAAATAACACCTCTTTATTGAACAAAAATTGTACAAATATAAGCCCTTTCTTTTATCAGTAATACATCTGAATTTAAAGCCAAAACTCCTAGAACAATGTCCTTGTTGCTATGTTTTCAAAATACCTAACAGCAAGAAATAGGTACGCCTACCACGACAAGCAAGCCAGATTTGATGTCTCAGTTAGCAGGTTTTTAAAAACGTTTGAGTTATGCAAACTTCTTGCCCATCCAACTTCGTAACCCCAAATAAGCTTCTCCGTGGATGCAAAATCACTAAATAAAAAACCAGTATATTGAAGTGATCTTGAGCATTTGTAGCTAAAGCAATGATAGTACCAACAACATGTGGATATTTTTAACTCCACTGCTAATGAGGGCCACTTGATGCATTGATAATGTAGTAGTAGCATGATAGAATTCCTTAACATCTGCATGCATTGTTGATGCGCTTCCAATTGCATGGTGTCACTTATGCCATATTTCCTGTGCCAAACTTCACAAATGTGCTTGTTTACTGGGATTGCAAGTCACAAATGGGTGTCTACACGCTGTAAAGGAGTATGTTATCTGCAAAGAAATTTAAATGTTTTTCCCTAGACCATCAGAACTTATAAGATGAACATAGCACCACTATGATCAAACCCCTAAGTAACCTATTATCTATATCATAAGAAGTAGAATGTTGTTGCTGTTAGAAATCAACACTTAAATTGCTAGCAACTGCAGTAATAACAATAATGTGTCGCCTCCAATCACAAAGTGGTGGTTTTATAGTATTAGATTTAAATTAAGATTTTTAAATCAAAGTAGTTAAAATACAACATCATCTTGTCCAAGGTGGTTTCCTCGCAGTGAAACGCGGTGACAGAACAAACTCCTCCTGCACCATGGTTCCTTTGTCAAACGTATCCTGCCCATACCTCCTCGCCTCGGACTGCAAGATAGCCGCACACTGCGAAGCAATGCATGCCTTCTTCCTCGACGACGACGATCCGCCCGGCTTCCTCGTCGTGCTCACGCTCACGCAGCCATGGGGAGCGTAGTGACGGCCCTTCCTCTCGGCTGCTCGCGCTCCCGGATAATCGTCCGTGAACCTCAGCACTGGATCGGTCGGTCGCAAGCCTCTCGACGTCGGGCTCTTTGCTGGGCCGCCACCACCGCCGCCTCTCATCCCGCGCGGGCTGTTCTGTGGCGCCTGCTTTGGCTCGCAGTTTGAGTTGGCCGAGAGCTCCAGGTAATTGCACACGCGCAGGCTGAACTCCCGGTCCAGCGACACGAGTTGCTTGTGCGCGTCCATGAGAGCGTTGGCCAGATTGTTGCAAACTTCCCACAGGAACGTCATACGCCTCCTCTGGGTGGACTTCTCGTTGTCGAGGTGCCCAGTCGACACCTGTGACGTGTTTTTGCCACGGTCAAACTAAAGTGAAAACATATAGAGTGCTCTATGTTACCTGGCTTGCTTCCATTTCCTTGGCCAGTAGCTGCTGGAGGTCTTGGAACTCTTGTTGGAGGGACACCTGAAAGCAAAGAATGAGCTTTCATTTTTTAAGCGAAAATGGCCGGCAATAGCACAGTGTTGTTGTCCCCATACCTGTAGAGTTCGTAAAGCTCGAGCAGTAAAAGTTGATCCTGTGTAGTGTGTAGATGTTAACATGAGTTGTCGCTTGTCGGGTTTAGCCAGATCAAGGCCGCCTCTCTCCACGTCAAGCTCCTTTTTCCGAACGACCAGTCCTTGTTGAGGAGCATTTCCGTCCGAGCTGTTGTCCTGGTACTTGAATTTCGGTACCTTCCGCCTCACTGAAAGATACTCATCCGCCGCCGGGGGACGTGAATAGCAGGAGTGCGGATGAAAGTAAAACTCCTCCATGTGGTAGCTTTGCCTCTTCACTGAACAGGAAGCCAAGTAGTACCATTGGCAGAACGAGCGTTCCAAGCGTCTCTTCTCTCCCACCCTCCGTATCCACCAGGGAAACACCGCCACCACCTTGTCCAAAGGCAAGTCCTTGGACAGAGCCTTTCTTTCGGCCTTTGAACTCCTCCGATACGTTCTCCAGAGTTGAAGGAACATCCGAACGATGCTCTCTCCCATCACTACTCTGAGCTCCCTTTCCATCGTTCCCAGGATGCTGCCCTGCCCATTCTTCAAGCACGACTTGCCACCGTGCGCCTGGACCTTACCGGTGGTTCTTGAATATCTCAGCTGCTTGGAGAGGAGCTTTGCTTTTAAAGCCGTACTTAGCCACCTCCACTTCCATGCAAGCCATCTAGCCTCTTCTTCTACTCCGCTCCGAGAACACAGCTGCAACTGTGATGATCCTACACCTGATGTCTGTGTTTTCGCATCTCTGACGCACAGATACTTCTCCGGTTTATCAAGCCATTCCAGAAACTTGGACAGCTCGCCATCTGTTTGAACTGTCTGATTCAGCACGCAATGAGATCTTGCCGATGAATCCTCGTCCCGTGGCTGTGGCCACTCCTGTATTTCCGGAAGCTGCTGAAGCTTCCCTCCAATACCCCCGGCCTTACCACTGCTACGTCTAAAAGACTTCAACGCTAGCTCCAAGTTAACGTCGATCTTGTGCAAAGAACTGTACAACCCCGGCCCTCTAGTGTGTCTGCCAAAAGAAGCCTCCAGTTTTATCATGTGGTTCGTCAGTATTCGTAGGTGTTCAAGAATACCAGCTGCAATGGCTTCAGACGTCCTTGATTGAGACTCTGAAGAGCACTGTGCCTGACACACAGAATCTTGTGTCACAAACTTGCGAGCATTTGGAAACATCGCTTACACTGTCGTGCAAAGTTGCCGAATTCATCTTCTCAAGCATTTTCTCGACCTGAACATTTAGGCATTCTTTTTCTTTCTCAAGCAACTCGCATTTCCTTGTCAAATCCTCCGCTTCTTTCTGGCATGCAAAGGTTCTTAGAAACCGATTGAAAATAGTTAAAGAAAAAAACGGACCTTCATTGTAGCTTTTGCATCTCCTTCCTGTGCCAGCTTATCTTGTAGGGATGCATATGCTGCTTCATGCTCCGTCTTAAACTGGTTATGATAATCTGCCATAGATGCGATCGTTGCTTGAAGCTTCTTAATGTCATCCAGCTTGTGCGTTAGCTCTTGATCTTTGCGTGCAAGCTGAAAAACACCAGAACAAGAAAATTACAAGACGAGCAAAATCTACGTAAAAAGCATTTACCTGGTCAAGTATGATGCGATTCTCTTTAAGCACCCCAACTTTGTCTTGCTGTAGCATTGCCAGATTGGCTTTCAAGTTCTCATCTACCCGTGTCTTCTCGCTTTCTATACACTTGAGCCGCTGCCTCAAACGATTAATCTCTCTATCCCGTCGGTGCACCTCCTCCTCTGCTGCAAGTGCTCTCTCTTGAGCTTTCTGAACCTCTTTTTTCGCTTCTTCATTCTGAGAGAAGTAAGACTTGGTCATGAAATAAAAAGACACAAAAGGAAGAAAAACTTACGTAGCTACTAGACTGCACTGCGTCCTCTATGGCCGAGATATGTGCTCGAAGCTGTGCAGTCTCCGCCTGTGCCCTCACAAGGTTAACGTCTTTCTTCATGAGCTCACGTTGCATGGACGTGAGAGAAGCCTCGTCACGGCGAGCCTCCTCCAAAACCTTCTTGAGCTCGTGACTGAACGATCGCTGTTCACATAAGCCATCCAGTTTCAGACTTAAAAGAAATCTCGCTCACGTAGAAAAGCGTAGAGCGGCCATACTTTAAGGTTGTGCTGTCGCCACCTTTGAAACGCAAGCACCGCATCGATCACTGCCTCCTCCTCCTCCGATTCTTCGTCTTCATCATCATCAGAGCCCTTGGCCATATCTATCCCGTGAAAACTCGAAGGTTTTTTGTGCCTACTCGTGCTCGGCTCGTCACCGCAAGTGTCGGCCGACGTCTTTGATGATAAAGTCGAGTCCGATTCTCTGGCCTGGAACTGTGGTGTCGATTTAAATCCTCTCGGCTCCACAGAATCTGCAGTAGGCATATCCTCCCCCCCGGATCCAACCGAGGCATCATCCGATTCCTCCTCAGCGCTCGAGCACTCGGACCTCTCCTCGTGTATAGCCACGAATTTCTGGTTCCTGTGAACGCTTCTCCTCAGAAGAAGCGTGCTGCGCAGCCGGCTCACTGATCGTGCTGGCTGCGCTCGTCTACCACCAAGATCATTCCCCGCCATCACGATGAAGCTATCAAACCCGCTATTTCACCTCGAATCGAAGGAACAAGAACAGCCACACCATAATCCCCCCCAGAACCTCCTTGTCGATCATTTTCAGCTGGATCGCGAGAAGAATATCTATCCCCAGCTGGATCGAAGCAGAAGCCCTGAGAATATCGATCTACACAGCGAATGCGACGCTACCTCGTTGCCCAGGCCGCCGAGCGCCATCGCCGCGCTTTAGGGCTCCCAGGGCAAACAAACGGTTGGTTAAAGAAGAAAAGCACAACACGTGGAATCTATCCAATCCGAGCTTTTCCTTAATACTGATTAATTAATATTAGTTTTATGAGAAAGAATATACTTAGAGTATCTATTATATACCTCTCCTTCTCTTGATGAAACTTCGTGACCTAGTTCTTCGCAAGCTACAGCGGCAAATCGACAAGAACGTCTTGACGCCGCTGCCCGATCGCTATCTCCATTGGCTAGTTCTCACATTTCCTAGTCCCAATCCATGGGGGGCGCTAGCGGCCACCGTGCTGGAAGATCGGCGAATCCAGGCGGCGGCCAGGGCCAAGGAGATCGAGGAGTCGCTCCAGCCGCGGGATTACGCATCGGTTCTCCGATCCTCGGGGCTTTCCGGGGATCTGGAGCTGGGGAGAGCGATCCAAGCACAGGTTCTCGACAGCAGGTACTCGCGATCGAAGTATCTCTCGGATCACATTGTGGGGATGTATGGGAAGTGCGGCAGTGCCGCATCGGCGAAGCAGGTCTTCGACGCGATCGACAGGAGGGATGTGATCTCTTGGAATATTTTGATCGCGGCTTATGCCCAGGGAGGGTTTCTTGAGGAGGCGAGCGCTGTGCTCCAGCATATGGCGAAGTGGAGCGTCGTGTCGGTGAATTCGATGCTCTCGGCCTACGCGCGCAGCGGGCGGATGCTAGCGGCAAGAAATCTCTTCAACCGAATGCGGCAGAAGAGCTTGGTCTCCTGGAACGTGATGATCTTCGGGTATTCCCGGGAAGGGAATTTGCGAGACGCGCAGCATTTCTTCGAGATCATGGGCGAAAGAGATCCAGTCTCGTGGACGACAATGCTACACGCTTACGCAGCGAGCGGGGATTTCACGAAGGCGAAGAAGTTTGTGAAGAGGATGGCGAAGCACAATCGCGTGGCGTGGAACGTGATGATCACAGCGTATGCCCAACTCGGTCAGATGCTCGACGCGAAGAAGCTCTTCGACTGGGTGCCAGAGAGAAGTGTCCTGTGCTGGAACTCGATCATCGCAGGCTTCGCTCAGCTCGGCTGCTTGAAGGAGGCGACGGAGGTGTTTTCCAGGATTCCAAGCACGGATGACTCGTCTTGGCCGTCACTGATCCATGCAGCAATGGTGGCTGGCGATTTGGAGACGGCCAAGAGCTTGTTCCACCAGATGCCCGGGAAGCACGTCATAGTCTGGACGGGATTGGTTCAGGGGCTCGTCCAAAACAGAGACTTGGATCTAGCAAAGCTCGTGTTCGAGCGAATGCCGTGCAGAAACGTGATCTCCTGGAACACCATGCTGGCTGCGCACAACTCTAGAGAAGATCTGGAGCAGTGCCGGAGCTTGTTCGATGCAATGCCGCAGAGAACACAGGTGTCATGGACGACGCTCTTCACGGCCTATGCTCGAAACGGGTATATCCAAGACGCGCGGGACGTGTTCTTCAAGCTTTCTCACTGGTGTCTCATCTCGTGGACGGCGATGATGGCGTCCTTCGTGCAAAACGGCCGGGTCTTCGAAGCCCAGGAAATGTTTGATCAAGTCCCATACCGTGACGCGATCGCCTGGGACACGATGATCTCCGCCTACGCTCAGAATGGCCACTGCGCCGACGCGTTTGAGCTGCTCAAGGTGATGGCCTTGGAAGGGACTCGGCCTTACGAGGGAACGATGCTGTGCATCCTCACGGCGTGTGCCCACGCGGGCTTGGTTGCCAAAGGCTTGGAGTGCTTTAGCAGCATGGTTAGCGACCATGGCTTGCGGCCGAGCTCGGAGCACTACAGGTGCATGGTGGACATGCTTGGGCGATCGGGGCAGCTCAAGGACGCGGTTGATCTCATTGACACCATGCCGTTTCTGCCCGACTCTACGAGCTGGAACGCGCTGCTGGGGGTTTCCAACGTCCAGCGTGATGCCGAGAAGCTTGTGGAGAGCGCCGCGGGGAATGCGAGCACGCTGGATCCAAACGACGCAGCTCCATACGTCCTGTTGTCGACAGCGAAAAGGTATGTTTCAGAGCTTTGAAACGTTCTGACTGACGGATTGCTTGTTTGTTTCTGCAGTTATTCCGCGACGCTCTGACTTGGTATAATGGTTTTTTCTCCACGCAATCTCTATGCGAAGAGCTAGAAATCTGGAAGATGATGCAAGCCACGATTTCTGGATTTGGAAAAACATGGAGGACGAGCAGGCTCCACCTCGAAAACACCCTGGAGGGATGAAAACAAATGTTTCTTCACAAAGACGTGAGGTACACTTCCATATTTTTGCTCGTCACTGGAGCAGGAGAAGAGAAAGAGCAAGAAGAACAACTCGAGTAAGTATTGACAAAGTAAACCTTTGCAGTTTCATCCATTTTCCATCGCAGAGATCGTGACCTGTTGACTGTTGAGCCCGTGCCTTTGATTCCTTCGTTCAAAACATACAAACTCATTTATTGTCGTTCGGCATTTTGCGCAGCTCATCGCCAAACAAAATTAAAACGTTTCACTCCATCGAATTTCTTGAGCATTGTTTTTTGCAGTCGGCTCCAGACATCCAGACAACGTTCCTGGAAAAAAAAGTAGTTGGGAAATTTTTTTCCGCTTTCAAAGTACCACGAACACACACTGGTCATAACACGGATCATCGCCCTTGACACGTGTCGCCACGTCCGCGTTTTCTCCCTGGCGCCAAATCTCGGAAGCGGATATTCTGGGCATCGAACGGGGACCAGAGCTTTTTTTCGCCGGAAGTGCTGACTTCGATGCGCGCGAGGAAAAAGAGGGCCTCTAATTTCAGCAATGGAGGGTGTTTTAAGGACCGCAATCTTCACTTGTTCTTTCCCTCGCGCCCATGGCTCCTCTTCCCTCCTCCTTGGTCCCCTTTTCCTTGCTGTTCTTCGCCCTTCTCCCTTCGATTCTGTCCCTCCCCGATCGATACGACGTGCAGACGCTCGCGGCGATCGATCAATCCCCGGATTCACAGAGGAACGATCTCGATTGGGAATGGCAGCGCACGGGATTCCACTTCCAGCCAGTGAAGAACTGGATGAACGGTATTTTAAAATAAGAGCTCTGTTTTTATCTTCGTTTTTATCCTGAAATCTAATCCGAATCTCGCCCGAATCCTCTTCTGCGCATCGGTGGCCTGGATCAGATCCAAATGGTGAGCCTCTGTCCCAAGTTTCGATGGAAACAGCAGCGGGAATCGATGGATTGACGCGTTTCTTTGCCCCGCTCTTCCAGGTCCCCTGTTTTACAAAGGCGTGTATCATCTCTTCTATCAATGGAACCCCTACGCTGCCGTGTGGGGGAACATCACTTGGGGCCACGCTGTCTCCACGGATCTAATCCACTGGAAGTACGTGAAGGAGCTAGCTCTCGTGCCGGATCGATGGTATGACATCAAGGGCGTGTGGTCGGGATCCGCGACGATCGTCAATGGCAAGCCCATTCTTCTCTATACTGGATGGACAAATTCCTCCACGCAAGTCCAAAACAAGGTCTTCTCCTCCCATGTCCTCCGTTGTTAGGGTTCTTGAGCTCGACATTTCTTCTTTGATTTCGACCAGGCTGTGCCCAAGAACTCCTCCGATCCGCTACTGCGCGAATGGATCAAAGTCGACGCGGAGAATCCTTTCGCGGTGCCGCCGCCGGGGATCAATACCAGCGATTTCCGGGACCCGACGACGGCGTGGATTGGGCAAGATGGGCTATGGCGTACTGCAGTGGGATCCAAGTATCGCGCCAACGACACAGGGATCATCCTGCAGTACCGCAGCAAGGATTTCGCGAAATGGGAGCTCCTGGATGAATCGCTCCACGCGGTGAATGGGACGGGGATGTGGGAGTGCCCGGATTTCTTCCCGGTTGCGGTCCATGGCCAGCAGGGCTCGGAGAACTATCTTGGCGAGGAGAATGCGATCCAGAAGTTCGTGATCAAGGTCAGCCTGGATGAGACGCGATTTGACACGTATGTGGTGGGCGATTACGACCCGGCGTCGGAGAAGTTCTTGCCCAGCTTCGAGGCGCTCGATATTGGAACGGCGCTGCGCTATGACTATGGGATTTACTACGCGTCCAAGTCGTTCTATGATCCTCACAAGAAGAGGAGAGTTTTGCTAGGATGGATCAACGAGGCCGACAAGCCCACGTCGGACATTCGCAAGGGATGGGCTTCTGTCCAGGTACGCATGCGTTACTTGAGGTTACTTAAGATTTTGGTCTTCATTTGTTTCGATCGTTTCCTTGGCTTCACTGCATACTTAGTGTTTTTCATTCACGCATTTGTTGTTCTCGTTGCGTTCTCCTTTGTGCTTGTGTGCTAGCTTCGTTTCAAAGCTTTAGCTGAAAATTCGTCGTCCTTGTGAACAGGCAATTCCCAGAGTTGTATGGCTCGACGAAAACCAGCATTCCCTTCGGCAGTGGCCCGTGCCAGAGATCAATTCTCTAAGAAAGCATCCAATTCGTCATACAGATTTGCTCTTGAAGCAGGGAGAAGTTTTCAAAGTAAATGGCTCTCAAGGATCGCAGGTACCACACACTTGTTCTCTCTTTCTGTTTCCAAGCTGAATGGCTTTCTTTTGTCCTTGCAGCTCGATATCGAGGTGACTTTCCAAATCCCAAAGGCTCACGCCAACGATGAGAGCGATGAATTTAACTTTGCATCGTCCAGAGTCGAGGGAATTCCAAACAACACTCTCATATACTGCAATGGCAGCTTTCCAGAGGCCGAGCAGATAATCGGCCCGTTCGGAGTCCACGTCCTTGCGTCGGAGGATCTACGTGAGAGAACTTCCGTGTTCTTTAAGTTCCTCAAGTTCAAAGGTTCCTGGAAAACTATGGTTTGCAACGATCTCACAAGGTTGGTTCTCGTTCTCTCGTAAAATCATCGAGTCTTCTTAAAACTTGTTTGTGCTTGCAGCTCTTCCCTGGCATCTGATGCTACAAAAGGCGTCTACGGTGGACTAGTAAGCCTCTCGAGCTACAAGAATCGTCAGGCTTTGACAATGAGAATCTTGGTAAGTCGGTGAAAAGTTCCTCGCGACAATATGCTAAAACCTTTTGGCTCAGGTGGATCATTCCATCGTCGAAACGTTTGCTCAAGGCGGCAGGACGTGCATCACTGCTCGATCCTATCCTCTTCTCGGGAGCGACAACAACGCTCATATATTCGTGTTCAACAATGGAAGTCTTCCAGTCAAGGCAACACACTTGGCTGTGTGGAAGATGGATAAGATTCGCTACACCACAGTCTAGAGGAGGATAACTAAATAGACTAAAAACTGATTGTTTAATAAAACAAAAAAAAAAAATTAATGCAAAAGCTTGTGTTCGAAAGCTTGATTTAAGGTTAAGCTGCTTCATAAACATGTTGGATATTGTGATACTAAGTCATCAAACCGGAATCCACACAGATTATATTGAAGCACTGGAAGTGATATCAAAGGAGAACAGGTTCGAACAACTTGCAAGCTTATGGAATGCAAAGAAATTTGGCAATTTACCTTTGAGACGATGGACATGGACAAAAGGTGTCAAAGACTGCGTGAAAGTAGTGCAAATGTATGGGGCCTATGCAGTGGCTGTTGATTTCAACATCATAGCTTCCAGTCAGATTGCCATAGCAATGCAATTATTGGAAGACAAAACAAACACTACTATTGCATTGTACACAATGGTCACACCTCTTCTTGGACACAACTGAACTTTATCGAGCATGAACTGTAAGTTTGGAGGGTTCCATTCCTCTTCCTGGAATCTGAGATGTTGGCTTGAAAGATGACCATCATGTACATTCAACCATAGAGGAGGCATCAAAGGAATTGTGGGAATGGACCAAACACAATCTAGATAGCAAGAAGACAAAAGTATGATATAGTGATAAAACATTTTAAAACTTTTTGAATTAATTTTTTGATGATCATAACTAAATTTGTTGCAAAATTTTACTAAATTGTTTTTTAGCTCTCACAATTGTATGATACAATAGTTATAAAAATAAATTGCTACACGTTGCATGTAGCAACATTTGGCTTGCTTAATAGTAGTTTTATTATTTATTAATCCAATTTATTGAATAAAGTTAATAATTATTTGTAATTTATAAACACAAGATTAATCTTATTGTATATCAACCATTAGATGATAGAATAAAAAAGAATATACTAAAAAGGGTTTAAGAAATTTTATAAATTATAAACATGTTTATAAATTATAAATACAAGATTAATCTAAATGAATAACAACCATTAGATGGTAGAATATCCTAGAATATCCAAGCATATTTTAGGTATATTCACTACTATCCAAGGAAACCAATTACTAGCAAATAAAATTTTAATTCTCTTTACCCCTATGTTTTATACTATTGTATAATACTCTTGCCCCTTGCTAAGAAGACAACAGATGCAACAAAATATCTACAATGTCACAAGTAAGCTTCTTAAGGTACCACTACTGCATGCCAGAATATGAGCTACATACGTACAAATGTGGAACTCTAGAAGGGTGACAATGCAAGCTACAATTGATTGTGCCATAGATCTCAGAATCTCCACTTGAATTTCCACTATAAAATTAAAGGTATTGATCATGACTGTTCATGATATGACATTCAATCGAACCAAGATCAGGCCACATAAGTAACAATGCCACATAAGTAAGATCAAGTGGTGTTGCTTAGCTTCCCAAAAATTCAAACCATGGATTAGGTCCTTAGGGAGAGGGACAACAAGCATGAAGTACAACAACTAGCAATTAACTAGCTAGCTAACTTAAAATAGACCTGAACACCATTTTATAAGGTAAACCTTTTTAGGATACTACAAATGTTTCATCATCTTCATTTTTAGTGCCAATTTGTTACGAACAACTTGATTGACAATATTAAGAATATAAACTGTCTTTCGAACCAGGATAAACAAGGATAAATAACATCACTAAAAATACTCCTATATTGTAATTGTATTAATTAGATCCATCATATACATTGCTACAAAGAGTATTATAAGGCTTATTTAGAAGTAATGTACCTGTCCTGATCCATGAGTTATGCATACATGAATGCATGACATTGAATTGTCATCCACCCTACAAACAAGCAACAAAAAGAAGAAAAGAGAGAAGAGATAAGAACAATACGTGTTGTCTTTCTACATATGCAGCCGTGGCAGTCTGTAAGCGGTAGCTTCTTATTCGCAACCCGGGCAGCTGAGCAAAACTTATATCTAAACTAAATACGAATTACTAATTTTGGACGTGCCCTCAGAAAGAGCAAAAGTTATTAAGTACATTTAAATAAAGCTGCAAATATCATTCGGGCAGCATATTCAAATCCTTGGCGGGCACTGCGAGACCATGTAAAGAAAATCGAATGAATGAATACAACAAATTCTATGGATAATTTACGATCTTTGTTTCAATTTTTATCCATAGGTGTGTCTTCTTTTTAAACTTTCGAGACACATGCGGACAATCGTACAACTGTAGATCTCCACATCACCGAATTAAAAAAATTAAAAATTCCGCTTAGCCAACCAGTTGCATGACGCGAGGCGGGCAATCCATCCGGGGCCCAAGCAGCGACCGATATGCTACGAACTGTGTCACAGCGGCATCGCGGGACGGCATGTACTCGATGTTCCACGCCGGCCCCAGCGCCAGTAACTCTCTGGCGTCCACTTCGCGGTACCCCTGGCTCCACACATACCTCAGCCGCTCCATCCGCGCCACCCCGGCCGCCATGCCGGCCTCGCTAAACGGGCAGTGCCGGAGCTCCAGCTTGGTCAGCCTCGCGCACCCGGCCGCGAGGCCCACGAATCCGGCGTCCGAGTAGCCCGCGCAGCCCAGGAGCAGCCACTTGAGATTGCCCGCGAGCACCCCCATCTCTGCCAGGCCGTGATCCGAGAGGCCGCCGCGCTTGAGGTAGAGCGCGAGCTTGCGGAGGCCCCGGCAGCCCTGGAGGAGGGATTTGACGCCGGCGTCGAGCGGGGTATCGGTGAGCGGGGTCGGGGAGTCGAGCACCGCGATCCGGAAGTCGTAGAGGTCCCGGCAGCAATGCCCAAACGCGGCAAATGCTGCGTTGCTCACGTCTGAGGCGTAGATGGCTACTGTGCGGAGGTGTGGGCAGCTGGAGGCGAGCGTGATGAGGCCGCGCTGCGAGACTGAGTGATGGTTGTCCTCGAGGTTCTCGATTCGGATGCGCTTGAGCTTCCGACAGTGCTTAGCGATGGCCTCGACTCCCTCGTCCCCGATGCTGTTCCTCACCTGGGAAACGAGCAATGTACTCTTCAGTCGATTGTGGTGGCAGGAAAGAACTTTCGATGGATCTATAGAAGGATCGGGGGAGGGTGAAGTTTCGAAAAGAACTTCATGATCTGTTGACGGTGATAACTCTCGAATGCTGTCCAAGCTAAGGAATGTGTCTGTCGAGAGATAACAACTTGCGCTAGCTAGTGACTGGATGAGAACTTTGGAAAACATTGGAAGAACTTAGAAAGTAAATGGTTGGTTTGTTCAAACTCTGAGAGAGCGTGAGCGAACGAAGAGAGTAAGATCCAAGCTAAGGAAAGTCTCATTACCTTGAGTTCTTCCAGGTTGGGACACGCTTGGAAAGTCTGGTGGAGAAGCGAGAGCTGCGAGCTATCGAGGGTGGTGAGCATCAAGTCGAGCTTGAGCAGCCGGGAGGCGAGCCCGCAATCGAGAGGAATGCTGATATCCCCGGCGAGCGAAGTGACCGTCTTGGGCAGCTCCAGCTTCTCGATGATGCTGCTCTCATCCACGGAGCGATAGAGCAGCAGCATCTCCTGGAGCGATGCGGCATCGCGCAGGATCCCCCGGGCCCTGGAAATGGCGTCATTGGTAGTGCGAACTTCGTCAAGCCGAAGAGAGGCGAGTCGCTTGTTCCTGCTCACAATCGCCGCCACATCGTCCAGGCCCCGAACCTCGATCCCCGTCAGGCTAAAGCTGAGCACCTCGAGCTTGGTGGCGGTGTCGGCCAGAGCTCGCAGCCACTGCTCGCCGCCACCATCCACGATGCTCTCGTCCAAGCTCAACACTCTGAGGTTCCTGGATCATATAGATAGAACACAACGTTGAGAGAGAGATGATCGCTTGCTTGACTCACTTGCAGTGGCGCGCGATCTCGAGGAGGCCCCGGGTGGAGAAGCCCGAGCAGCGGTCGAGCTTGAGAACCTGCAGCGAGCTCGCAAACGCGGCGGTGGCGATGGCGGCGATGGCGGAGTCGGGGACGTCGAAGCGGCGGAGGTGGATGGCAGCGAGAGAGGGGCAGCAGGCGACGAGGACGCGGATCCAGGTGTCGGCGGCGCCGCCCCAGTCGTCCCCGAGCAAGCCCCAGTCGTAGATCCGTGGCCGCCCCTTGATGGTCACGCTGGCGAGGCCGGTAAATCGCTGGGCCAGCCGCCATGGATGCACTGCGTACGAGCACTTGACCACCAATCTCGATCGCGTCCTCGCCTCCACCCGGTACCACTGCCGATTCACCTCGGAGACCGCCGCGCGGTCGCAGGGATCGGCGATAAGCGCGAGGATTCTCTCCAGCAGCTCATCGCACAGCCACAGCACTGTGCTCTTCTTCTTCTTCTTGTTATTGCTTCGCTCCTCCATCGCTAACACTTCTAACCGGGAAGGAAGGAGATGTCGTGGTACGTAAGATCCTCTCTCTCTCTGTTTTTTAACTCCTCTCTCTCTCTCTCTCTCTCTCTCGCTCTCGTGTTCTTCGCAATGGTAAAATGTGTGGCCAGGGAAGGGCCAGCCGTGTGGCGATGGAAGATGAACTAATGCTAAATTGATAGGCGAGACTTTACTCCCAACTTGCATTGAGTGGACTCCATCTAGAGTGATAGAGTCGCCCATCAGAAATTTTAAAAGAAAAAAACCGAAGAAAAGAAAGAAACAAATACTGAAAAAAGGATATGGCCTTTCTGAAGAATCCTCCTCCGGTGTCGTTATCTACTGCATCTACTACTGCATCGTACTTACTGCATCTTTGCAAGCCACTATCTACAATGAAGAACTCTTTTGTTACCACAATTGCCCAGGATGACACGACCAAGACCTGCACCACAGTATTCCAAATGGAACACGGCACTGCCCTCACCCAGGGGGTTTCACTTGCCGCACTGGTCGTGGTACTAGGCACTATTACTAGGCTACAATCTCCTCAAACAAAGTGGATCTTCAATCAATCCCCGACCTGGAGATTGCGGATCACTGCCCTCTGGGATTGACGTTGACAAATCCTCCAGCTACTACAGCTCATGAACAGCTCCCCACATCTATCAGATACAAGATCATTGCAGAACGGCGAAGTCGCTATGCAGAACAAGTGAGGAAGTTATGGTGGCAATTGACAACTATGGTGATCTTTTGATAAAAGTCCTCACCACAGCTGCTCATTCCCCATTCCGCATCCCCAACTCCCCATGGTGGAATGATGAATGCCAGCAATGGAATACAATTCAAAAGGCAAAAGGCCCAATCTGAAGCACCCGATGCCAAAGCAGCTCGGTGAGTATGCAAGCGTAAAAAACGAGAATGTATGGCAACTCCAAACAAAGCATATAGCATATTTTGGAAGGCTGTTGATATGGAATTACTTCAAGCTTGTGATCAACACCTCCTAGCAACGATACTCGCTCAAATCTTAGGTGATGTTCTCTGCAATGGCTTCCCAAAAAAGTGGACAGTAAACTGCATTATTCCAATCTATAAAAGTGGTGATGCTTCCTAAAAATCACCACACCATAGTGGTCTCAGATGTTTGCCCGTATTGTTGAAAAATCAAGCGGGTTTCAGGCCTAAATGACTATTTAGCGATTGTCACAAAGCATTTGATACTGTCCCAAGACAAAGTTTACAGGATCATAGAGACACCATTAAGTATAATCCAGGCAGTTTTGGCACTTTATGAAGTCATTTGCTGGATAAGAACTTATTCTTATCACCATAAGAGTTAATCAAGTTTGTCTACTTTCGCCAACTCTTCTGAGACTATATATTACTGGACTGATTTTGTCCCATAGCTCGTTCCCATCGCTTTCCAAAGTCCTCTCTCCCATCGCCTCCACCGGACCCGCTCCGTTGAACTCCTCTCCACTTGCGAAGTACCACACAGCATGTATCGAAACATTATTCACTGACCACCATCTTTCAGTGATACAAATGGCTAGCCTATACCTATACTTTCTGTATGTGAATGATCTCTTACCCCTCACATCCACTTGCTCTTTGTTTCAAAGACAACTTGAGATTCTAGAGGGTTGGTGGTCAACCTCACAAGACAGATTGGATACAAGAGATTATCTCTAACACATAAAGGAATGAGGTATAAATCTCTGGGGTATATGATCTTCCAAGCAAATTGGATCTAAACAGCAAGGATTTATAAATGGGTTTAGAAAAAACGTCATGTTTGCGTGAACAACATGATCTAGGAATGGATCTCAATTATCTACTCCTGGCACACATTACCGAAGTGTCTGCAGAATGGATGGAATGCACTTTTCAAACAGCCAACCGGTACGGGCTTCCAATAGTACCTACAAACAGTAACACAACACGGGAAATTGTCATCCAGCTACACTAGCCTTTAGGACAAAAGCACTCAAAGGATCCTAACTACCTATCAAGCAAGAGGGCACCACCTATATTCAACAGTTGAAGAATGGCTCAAACCACTTACTCCTTTGGAGGACAGACTTTGCCAAGTCTACTACGAGGAAAATGGAGACTGTTGAACATGCCAATTGCCCTGGCATTCCTTCACATTAGATGGCACTAATTATACCTTCTGACACAGGGCTCCTGTTTAATTACTCTCCTAAATCTCCTTATCTTTTAGTGTTTCAAGCATTTCATTTTAAAAGTATAAGCAGAAATTTAGGATAGGATATCATTAAATAATAGATGATATATATATATTTAAAACCCTAACATGTCATTTGAAAGACCGTAACAATTTTCGTACCAGTGGAAATTTGGCTACTGTCGGTGAAATTTATGCCCTGCCCGTAGCCAGAGAGGTGGCAGCCTTCGTCCTTGAAATCAGCAACAACACACGCACAGCACACAACATTTCCAAATCCTTGAGGTAACACTCCAAAACAAATACTTAGACTAATGAATATTAAGTTTTATGCCCCATGGGCCATGACCATAAGTAAATATTCTATTTTATTTTACTTTCACTTTCCCGATCTTTTTCGAAGGATTTGAAAGCTGTTTGACAAGAGCAGGAAAGAACCTGTCAAGAGTTTCAAAACTGTTTTGCTAACATACAAGTTCGCCTGGGGCAGCATTCCGGCACTGGAAATTGCGGCCAGGGATGTAGCGCAGCTCGGTAGCGCGTTTGTTTTGGGTACAAACGGCCGCAGGTTCGAATCCTGTCATCCCTACGAAGAAAAAAATGTTCAGCTTTTATTTTTCTCCCGTATTTGATTTACCTGATTAAGCTAAAAAAGATGGTTGCACCAACTTTTGCCTTTCAACTCCACCAGTTGTGTGAGAGCTCACGATAATGCCGGCTATGCTTCTGATAATAATCATCTTATCGCTTGCAGGATCGTCTGTGGGGGATGACTTACGCCCTGCATTCCACTTCCAACCCATCAAGAACTGGATGAATGGTAAAATTATAACTTCTAGAGTCACTCAAGTAAAAGCCACCCTTGTATGTGTACGTTCTTCTTCCTCTTTCCTGTCCCAAAAGATCCCAATGGTAAGAAAACAATAGAAAGAAAAGATCGTTACCTCATGGACTTAAGCCAGGACCGATGCTCTACAAAGGATTGTATCACCTCTTCTTCCAGTACAATCCCACTGCGCCAGTATTTGGAAACATCAGCTGGGGACACGCAGTCTCCAAGGACCTCATCAACTGGAGCTTCCTCGACCTGGCTCTCCAAAGAGACAAGCCTTACGACCAAAACGGTGCCTTCTCTGGCTCCATCACCTTCGTCAAGGGAGTGCCGGTCATTCTCTACACGGGCTCTGCGCTCAACTTAGATCAGTCGCAGAACGAGGCTGTGCCTGCAAACATCTCGGATCCGCTGGTTAGAACCTGGAAGAAACTGGAGCAGAACCCGATCATCTTTCCACCACCCTCCGGCGTGCGAACAGTAGACTTCAGAGATCCCACCACGGCCTGGATTGGTGCCGACGGGCTTTGGAGAATCCTGGTGGGAGCAAAGAAGAATACCACCGGAACTGCAATCCTGTACACCAGTAAAGACTTTGTTCACTGGAACTTGGCGGACCATCCGCTCCATGAGGTTGCTGGAACCGGGATGTGGGAGTGCCCGGATTTCTATCCCGTTTCATCCTTCGGAACAAAAGGCTTGGAGGATTCAGTCAGAGGTTCTGGAGTGAAACACGTACTCAAAGTCAGCTTGGATAATACCAGACAAGATGCTTATACTGTAGGAACTTACGATGCTGCGGCCGATAAGTTCATACCCAATGTCCCGGAGCTGGACACTGGATTAGGCCTCGTTTACGATCACGGCGTCTTCTACGCTTCCAAGACGTTCTACGACCCTGAGAAGCAAAGACGCGTACTTTGGGGATGGGTCACTGAGAAAGACAGCGCTGAGGCTGATATTGCCAAAGGCTGGGCCGGCGTCCAGGTATGTGGAAGAAACTGTTTGTGAGAACCTCTTGTTCATCTGAAGTTGTGCCAGGCACTCCCGAGACAAATCTGGCTGGATGAAACACACCAAAATGGAGTTAGACAGTGGCCAGTAGCCGAAGTGTATAAACTGCGTCGACGGGACTACCATTCACAGGCTCACCTCAAGCTTCAAGGTGGCGCGTTGCAGGAGATACATAGCGGCAGAAAGAACTTTCAGGTTCCTAGGCTCAACCTTTTATTGTTTCTCTTTCATTTCTTCCAGCTTCTCGTGCGTTGTTTTAGCTGGACATCGAGGTCACCTTCACTGTAAGAAATCACAAGCTAGTCACCCTCGACAGCATCATGGAAGACGGACAAACCTCATGCCTTGGTCGCACCACCGCATCAAGAGAAGCAGTTGGACCATTTGGACTAATGGTTCTAGCCTCGGATTATCTCCAAGAACACACTGCGATCTACTTCGCGTTGCTGAGATCGAAGTCGGGCTGGAAGCCCCTTGCTTGCAGCGACATTCGAAGGTAATCCACCCCCAAATTATCCGAGAGAGATCAAACCAAAACATTTCCTTTAGATCGTCGCTACAGCCAAATGTCACAAAAACAGCATACGGAGGATTCGTGAACGTTACCGGCACAGAGCAGCAGCTCACGATGCGAGTGATTGTAAGACCCGAAAGAAAGGCCTGATTTCACTGACTGCGTGCTCCACAGGTAGATCACTCGCTCATCGAGACATTCTTTCAAGGCGGACGGGCCTGCATTACCTCCCGCGTGTACCCTACCAGCGGCTCGCCCCGCCTCTTCCTCTTCAACAACGGCAGCGCCCCGATCGACGCCTCCATCGCGCTATGGGGCATGAAGAACGCCACTTTCACCCCAAGCTAAACTTCAAATTTTGTGATTGTTTGATTGCCGTACTTATATTTACATGATTATACCCATGGATATGCCTTCCGTACTTGTCTTTCTTTTTTTATATACAAAATACAAACCTTTACATTTGTTGTTTTGGTCAGTACGCCGTTAGCTGGATGGAGCTGCCAAAGTCTTGCGCCGGCTTGCACGCCATCTCTATGGCCTCCATCTTCTCCATGCGTAGAAGATACGATAGAACAAGCCCCAAGTTCTTCCACAACATCCATCGGGGCTTCTCGCGGTAGTCCGCAAGATCCGTGGCGGTGATCATCACCGGCTCCTCGGTGCAGTAAATGCACAGGCACGGCAGGGATGGCTTTAGATCGTCGCTACTGCTGCAGCTGCCGGATCCGGCGTTTGCTAGCAGCGGTCGCGAGCAATACTTGTGTCTGTATTCGTACACAGCCTGGAGGTGGGAAAACGTTGGTGAGCAAACAAAAGAATGAATCGGAAGTTCTCATACCTCCCACTGTGCTGAAGCCAGCAAAACTCTCGGGCGCCGAGCACGGATGTAGTTGAAGGCGTCGATGGGATTCAATCCTCGGTGTTCCATCTAGAATCACGCAGAAAATCGATCACGAAAAGGAAATATATGGAAGAAGAAAAACTAGAAGATAAGCTTACCAAGTAGCATAGCGCTACTGTTGTACTTCGCCCACGACCGGCTTTACAGTGAACATAGGTTGTCTCACCTCGAAGCGCATGCTCTGAAAAAACACAAAATAAAGACCAAGAAAAAGAAAGCAGAGCGGCAAAAAGAAAGAAACTTACCATGGATGAAGTTCACAGCTCGCCGAATGTCTTTAACAGCCGGAGCAAAGTAATAATCCCGCGTTGGAATTACGCAATGACTGATACCATGCTCCTAGAAGAGAGAAAACTCCTTTAGGGGAAGCTAAGTAATTTTCCACTAGAAGCTAACCTGGTAGAAGGATGAGTCGACGAGGGTCTCAAAGGGCTCGTTGAGCGTCACAACGCCCCTCACGCCCGCCGATTTGAGCAGAATCACATCGCTGCGAAAGGGCACCGCGCCCAGCAGCAAGAACTGTGGCAAGAAACCTCAGAAATTCGGCCCACGATCTCAATCTCACCTCGTCCACTTGATCCCACCAGCGGAATTCGTCCTCCATGCTGTTGCGCAGGACATTGTACGCCAGCGTCGGGTAGAAGAGCAGCCTTGCTCCAGCGGCGATGGCGATTACTTTCGCCCGCGAGAATCTATCCACAATCGCGCCATTGCCCGTGGGGTCCGATTCCTCGCTGCTCTCCTCCCGGATGATCGCCATTCTAGCCCTAGCCCTAAACCTTAGGCCCAAATAGATTTAAAACAGCCCCAAAAATTTAGTGATCCCCGAGATAGAGGAGTTTGTTTCATTACACCTATCAATGATCAGTCCAGCATTTAATCTTTGGTGTTCTCGTCCTGGCGAATCAACGCGTGAAGCTTCAGTAAAAATACAAAAAGCCCACCTGTGATCGTCTTTCAGACTCCCCAATGCCTTTATCCTTGTTCTCGCCAAACTTCCTTCCATCCCGCGTGCTCTGGCTATGGTGCTGCTGCCTTTGATGATCTTCCTCGTTCTCCTTGATCGCGCCACTGTCTTTGCTGCTGTAAGTACTGCTCCTGTCAACACAGAATGGACGCTTGAGTCAGGTATTGAGCCGGACTTCATGCTTCTCAACGTTGACACGAACCACGCGCTGGGATTCACGCGAGCTTGCTCCACCTCTCCAATCTATTACTTGTCCATCTCCATCCCCTTGATCCCGGATGTAGAGTGCACAATCTCGTCGGACATCATCGTCAGCGTCTGGCAGGCCAACCGAGACTTCCCACTCTCCGCCAACGCCACTCTCGCGTTTGGAGAAGATGGTAACTTAGTCCTGAGCCAAGGCCCCATCCAGGTGTGGTCCTCCGGCACCTCGGGCCGAGGAGTTGTGGCTATGGAGGTCCTCCACACCGGAAACCTCGTCCTCCTCGGCAGCGGGGGCGAGATCATCTGGCAGAGCTTCGACCACCCCACGGACTTGTTGCTTCCGAAACAAAAGTTCGTGCCGGGAAGCAAGCTCGTCTCCAGTGTCTCTCACACAAACAGGAGCCAAGGGAGCTTTTTTCTCGAGCTCCAGCCTCGGGGTCTCGTTGGCCGCGCTCGAGCTCCTGGCACAGAGCAAACTTACGCGGTCTGGGACCTGGGAAGCCACGACATAGCGTACCTGATGATCGAGAGCTGCCATCTTGTAGCATATAACAGGACGGAGTCCGTGGTAGCAACCAAGAAAATCACCGCGCCATTTTGCCTCGAGACAGGGAAGTTCCTCAAGCTCCACTATGACGGTAGTGTGCGATTCTGGAACAGCTATCAGAAAAGCGAACCCGTTTTTATCACTGGCATTGGAGATTGTGGAAAGTATGGCGTGCTTCGACAAAGTACCTGTGCTTGCCTCGACTTCGATCCATCGCTCCAGCTGGAGCCAATCGATCGGACGAATCCGCTGAGAGGATGCTCTCTCCCGGGGGAAATGTCGTTGACGGATGATCGATGCAACAGCAGCGGCAGCCACGAGCTCGTCGAAGCCCCCGGCTACGATTATAAGCCGCTGGAATTCATGCAAGGGATTCCACAGCTCTCTCCCAATGCTTGCAAGGAATCCTGCCTCTTGAATTGTAGCTGCATTGCGGCGTTCTTCCAGGTTGGGATCCATGACAGCGCCTGCTACCACGTCACTACGCTCTACACCGTCGCGGTGACGCCCCTGCACCCTGGATATGCCTCGTCGATGTTCCTCAAGATCAAAACCTCCGGCGCAGCCCTACCTCCCGGGCGCCGATCCGCCAAGGCGCTGAGAATCGTCGCCAACACGGCCATTGGCGCCTTCTCGGTGATCATCGCCGTGTCGGTGCTGATCGCGCTCATAATCGTCCGCTGGAGAAAGCGAATGGCGAGAATCTCCGCGGTGCACGACTAGGGTTCTTGAGAATGAAATTTAAATTTTAGGGTTCTTGGTCGCATTGGTAACATTTGGCGAACAAGCCAAAGGTATCGATCTCTTTCTTCATGTTTTGGATGCTCGCCCAGGCGCCAAATCCCACGCCGACGATCAGCACCCACGCGATCGTGCCGAGGTTCAAGTAGTAGGCGCCGATCCAAGAATGCGGCTCGGCGGAGTCCTGTATCATCACGATCGTCAGGAATTTCAGGTATTTCGGGGATTTCGGGGATTTCTACTCACGCTTCTCGATGCTCCGATCCCATAGTACGTAATGTGTGCTGCGCAGGGCAAAATATAAATGCTAGAGCTCGTGAGGAAGGATCCGACTATGGAGTTGATTGGACCGAAGAAAGGGATCATGAGAGCCACGAACCAAATTCCCAGTATCACAGGTACCCTGGCTATCACTTTCATGATGTAGCACTGCTTGTGATGGACTCCTAGAAATTTTTCCCAGATGATATAGATGGGGATCGCGAGGAGTCCAAACTCGATAAACTTCAAAGAAGTAAGAATGAAGACCTCTGATTATTCCTTTCACTTTTACTCACCTGGTGGATAACCATGAGAATCACCGCCGCGTCTCTAAACTTTGTCTTTGGCAGCACAGCGAAAGCGTTGGGATTTATCAGCATTTTGTCACCGAATCTCAAGTAGACTGTCACCGCGGACGGGATCACAAGGATCAAAAGTACGTAGGCAATGGCGTAGACGTACACGCTCTTAAACTTCTTGGGCTCCCACATCGCATCCATGATTTCTCTGGTTTCAAACAATCGTAAGCTCTTTTCTTTGTTTTTTCTTTCAACTCACATTGTAACTGCGTGACCTCCGAATGCGTATAGGAAGTTCGTTGCTCCTGTGAAATATTCCTCGGTGCTTACGGGTCCATGGTGTGTCACAGATGGTTCCTAAAGAGGTATGCTTTGAGTTTGTTGAAAAACTTCCGAGAGCTTACTCTTTTTATGGACAGGGAAGCCAGAGCTAAATACCATGCCGTGTAAGTCGTCATGATAATTCCTGCAAAGGACCACATTCTATAGTTGTGTGCAGTGGGGATGAGAATGCTCAACGAGCAACAGGCACCAAAAATCAATGTCCAAGAACGCTTGTCCAGATCATCGCTAATGTAGTACACTGTGCTGAAACTCCACTGGGGTAAGAACTTATCATTTTGAACTCTTTTTTGATACCTTCCACAGGCTATGAGTTGAATGGTTGCTGTGCAGAAAAGGAGAGCGCCATTGAATATAAGTCCTGCTGCTTTCCACCAGGGGCCTAGAAGACCGTCCAGCACCTCATACCACTGGTACCTTCTCATCCATTAGCACCACCTAGGACTACATTCTTAAAGATTTTCTTGAGGATTTCACCTGAATGGTATGATGCTCAAAAGTGACGTTTTGCATTTCTTTTAGCTTTCGATAGTCGGCATATAGGCATGTCATTGTGTAGGAAGACCAGCATCCTAAAAGTCCATACAAAAGCATGAATGCCATTCCAGAGGCGAGGCCCATTTGTGCAAACGAGTATGGAAAGGTTAGCAATACTTGAGCAATCTGAAGTAAGAGTGGTTTGAGAGAGTAGAAGACTGTGAAAATCCAGTTACCTGAGCCGAGGATGCATTCAGCCATGCATCAAACGTAGAACCTCCTTTCCAAAATACTTTTGCTACTAGTTGCAACCATTCAGCAGCAACTTGTTCAGTCTTTAGCAGCGTGCTCGTAATGTCTTCTAGACTAACATTGCTGATTCTTGTGGCACTAGGCCTTCGTTGGTGGCTTTGAGAAGCACAGACAAACTCAATTTCTCCTCCTACCGGGTAAGTAATACTTGATGTTCCTTTTGACATCCTGAAACAAGAAATTCTCAGAACTTCCGAGTCAAAAGCCTGAGAAACTGATGCCTGTTATGCTTCCGTTCGGATTTGTCAAATGTATCTCTCTAGTTTTCAGGCCTACGAGAGAACATAGTTTCCAGTTGAATTCGCTGGCCGGTGGTCTCTTTCTCTGCTACAATCGTGGGACCTTTGACATGTTAATTCCATCTTCCATATCGGATACGGCCATACTGTTTCGCAGATGGTCTGTATTCAGCTACCATATGTCGGCAATCAGCTGTAATGTTTTCCCTTTTGTCAGAGAGCAAACGTGTTTAGCCCGATTCTACCGTAGCGGCCAAGGATGGTGAGTGTATTTCTTTATGTAAGTATTGATTGATACTTTGCTTGCATCAGGAAAGGAGCAGCTATTTCAACTTGGACGCTCAAATCTCTGGGTCGCTATCAGGGGAGAATGGAGCAGAAAAGAAATATGATCAGGATCGAGCGGGAGCCCGTCATCTTGACATCCAAGCCAAAGCTTGTCAAAGTCCTCACTACCTTGTTCTGTAAGTTCTGGTGTATATTTTCTCTTCGTGACGTTGCCACTTTCCTACAGCGACGGATGCGGACAGGGACCTGTTCAAGGCTTTGTGCGCCAGGATTGAGGCTTGTGTTCGTGCTAAGTATCACGACCTTTTCGAGGAGCTAATGGCAAGTTATTTTCGTCTTTCTTTTCTTAACAAAACTTAATGCAGGAGCTTCAACATTTGTTTGATCCGCACAAACCTCAAGACAGGGAACCTTCCTCGACCGACGAGACGAGGTTTCTCGAGATGTTTCACCGTGAGGCACGCTGAATTGTCAGTAGTGATTTCGCGTTTTTACCTCTTTTTACAGATAATGACAAAGAGCAACTTCAAAGTTCTTAAAAAGAAAGAATGGAAGATTGCTACTTCGAGCAAATACGTTCTTCGTCTTGATGTCAAACTCAACAAGCATAGAGTAACGTGGTTAGTTCAAACTTTGGTTTACTAAAGAACATACATCTTTAGCTTGATGACAAGCTCCTGAAGAAGTACCCTAGAGTTACCGAGGCAGGCGACGAACAGCTTTTTGAGAACAAGGTAAGTCATAAATGTTGAATAGGAACTCGTTATAATTCCAAAGTCCAGTGCTTGATTTACAGGAGAGGCATTGGGTGTGACACTGCACAAGGCTACTATATGCTGGCCAAAGTTGAGGAGATTCAGAAAAGTTTTTGGAAGATGATTCTTAGACTTTGGTAAATGTTTTATCTTCTTTTCACTTTGTAACTCGCTTTTATTGAAGTATTGGCAAGGAGGAAGAAAATTTCATGCATGAAGAACCAAAACCGGACGATAGATTTATGGAGATGGAGCGTATTCATGTAGGAGACGTGCGGTAAGCTTTCCATGTTAAAAGCCTAACAGAGAAGCAGCGGTATTTGTAGAATCAAGCATTTCTTTCAAAAGGTGGAGCTTCAAGAACCAACTTTTAGCCAGGTAATTGTCATCTACAGGTAACAAACGCAATTCCCTCTAGTCAAAGCTTCGCCTTCTAATGCCATAAGCAGAACACGCGATGATCCTCGCGGTATTCACATCAAGCAATTCAAAGACGTACCAATGGCTGATTTGGAGCTTGTCCTGGTAAACTAAAACCGTGTGATGGATCTATTTTCATAACTCTTCGTACAGCCCGAGAAGAAATCACCGAGCCTAAGCTGGTCTGAATGGATAAAGCTCATCGTTTCGGGTGTCACAGGAGTGGTATTGCTTTCAAACATTTTTTTTTTCCAAACGTTATTAAATTCGGCACTTACCAGGCTGGGTTTTGGGAAGCCTTTAAGAAAGGCCACTCTTCCTTTGTACCACTCGCCTTCACCATCCTTACAGCTTTTGTTGGATACTGCTTCAAGGTGTATTTCACGTAAGTCTCTCTGAGTTTGGCCATCTTTCGAGCTAATGTAGAAACACTCCAGGTTTCATATCAATGTTCTGGAGTACCACAGGCTCATCTCCAAGTCAATTTACGACAAGCAAAGCGACAGCCACCTTGGTACCCTGCTACACTTGTGCACGAACGTAATCAACCAGGAAGTACTGCGTTAAAATTTCCATACGCTCTCTCTTGTTATTGACGAGCTTTTCATTTGCGCAGACAATGGAAACTATCATTGGATACTTTGTGTTACTTGTGCTAGGGACGGCCACAAAACAGGTATACAGCTAGTCGTCCACTGAAATGATTTCTTTACTCGTCGATTTCAGGAGTTTGCGTTGCATTGTAACTATCTGATGGAAAGAGAGTTTCAAGAGAGATGCGAATTCGAATATGACGACGCTTTGGACAAGTTGAGAGCTTTCGAGTTATTAGACGAGGTAACACAGTAATCATCTAGTGCCTTTGTTAATCTCTTTTAACTCAACAGCGTGGCGATGACCGCTATCAGTGCCTCAATCTCGAAGAGGCCAACGAAAGACTACAGGGCAAGCTGAAAGAAAGAGCTTAAAAGAAGTACCACCAGTCGTTGGTATATCATCTTCCCAGGAATAGCGGAAGGTGAAAAAAGATCTTCAGTCTACTTGCTTGTTGGTAAGATTTCATTGATAAGACTTGTTCGATACCAAAAGAATTATCTCAACTCTGTTACAGAAAGCTAGTGGCAAACCAATAAAGCCAGCTCGATCATATGAAGTTGAAAGCCCAGCTACAAAAACCTTCAAGTCAAAGCCACTCTTTGAGATGATCAACTGATTGCAAGCTGGTTAACAATGTTAGATAGCTTCGCGGACTTATAATCTTCTCGAAGTTGTATGAATCTGCAGGAAATTTGGAATGAAATTCTTCGCACAAAAAGCACAGAGGTATTTAATTACCGAATCGCATCCTTGCTAGCGTTGCGCAAGCTCCCGTCAACTAGTGTTTTCAGGCTCTCCGGTGCGACGATGAAAATGTTAACCATCCTGGGAAAGGGATACAATCTGAAATAATACAAACATCTCAGAACGTCAAAACTTACGTTCCCAAGAGTTCAAACTTCTCGTCTACTGTGGGAGCCTTGAAACTGCGAACGAACTCAGCAAACTCGTTAACGTCACGTTTCAATCTGAGACCGCCACTGTAACATGGCAAAATGAGAACCGAGATGTTGGAAATTACTGGTTTCACCTTGGACTAAATGTGAACCTTTGCCAGTGAGTGATAAGCGATTTGTATAGACGGCATCCCTGAAATGTCGTGTTATGCGTGTATGAAAATGAGTAGAGAACCATACCAGCTCAGTCACAAAGACTTGTCTGTTCGAAACATCCAAAGCTGTGTTGGTGCAATCCAGCATCCGAGACAAGAACGCTACCACTCTGCAGCAACACGCACTTAATCCAGTAGCATGAATTTGGAGAAGAGTTACCGTGTGCAGGCGTTAGTCGGCCGATGGTCCGGTAGACTTCCATCATCCGAAGGCTGATAATCATGCACTTTTTGTTCCAAAGCCAGTAGGCGTTCCGCCTTCAAGGAAACGTACTAGGTGGAGTTCCATTTCAACAAACGAAGCATACCTCAGCTATCATGGAGTCCATACAAAGCTGCAAGCCCTTCAATACAGCATCCTCAGCATGTGACATGGATGTTGCTATTTCCTCACAGCACGCGGCATGTGCCCCATCGACCGGAAGAAGAATCCGAGCGATCGTGTTCACAAAATACTGCAAAGGCACGCATCGTAGTTTCGAGCATAAATGTGTAAGCCGCACATACCTGCTGAACAATGGCGACATTAGTCGTAGCCCTTTGCACGGTGGTCATGAAAGAGCTGACACTAATCTCACCGGCGTTTGCAGCAGCCTCGGCCTAAACATGATGATGTAAATAAAAAAGAAACGAGAAATACTGGAAGAACTAACCGCTGAAGCAGCAGCAGCTGCAACCCGACGGCTAACTGCAGTTCCAATAGCGAAACGTTCTCTCAATGCTGCGGCTTCTCGGAGAGCGTCTTGACCACGTTCTAAGGCCGCAGTAATATAGTGATTTACCTACAAATAACATTGATAAGTCAAGACTCAAGGCACGTAAAACTGTAGCTTCACAGGCTTACTTGCTCCAGTAGGCACGTAAAAATCGCTCTCACGTTCGACGCTAGAGGTCCAGGCTGATGTAAGGAAAATAATTCAATAAACCATCCACATAGGGAGGAAACCTTAAACCTGAGCTCCCGTTAGCAGGCTGCACCGAAGAACAGCTTCTTCGTTCCAACGCACAAATTCAGTTACAACTTCAGTTGTCAAAGATGGTTGCGAAAAGTTTTGAAAAGCAGCCATTTTGCTTCCACGAGGACCAATGTCTGGAGGTGGAGGTAACGCTGCCCTGACCTCGGCCATCTGTTGAAACTTATATAATGGCGGAGATATAAAATAAATGATTACCTTCGCTTCAAACATTTGAGAAAGCGATGCCTGTTCAAGTTCGATATAGTCATCTCTATGACTAGTGAAGAGAGATTCCGCAAGAACTGCAAGAGTAGAGTCATTAAACACAAGTTATGAAGCATGAGCCTTAATGAGCCGTACCTTCAACGTCCAGCTCGCCACAACCTAGAGCCCGAAGATCTTTTGCAAAAGCTTGAGTCTTTTCATAAGTGGCCGCCAACAGTTTCAGATGCTATGGAACAACGTAATACATCAAAACACAATAACGACGTATAAAGTATATTTAATTACCTTACCTGAAGAAGGCCGCCCTCTTCTATCAGAGCCGTACTTGCAAGGTTGGGTTTGACAAGGAGCTTATCTAGGATAGCAAATACTCTTTGCTCCATAACTCTCTGCACAACTTCAATTGCTATCTTTCCAGAAGAACAAAACACTTACCTGTACAAGGATTGACATGACTGCATCCGGCGATGGGAAAACAGCAGAGACCGTTGCAGATTCTCTCCGAACCGTATCTAAGAGGAACACATAAATAAAAACATTTAGAAGGAAAAGTTATATACCTGTAATTTCCTTGTAAAGCTTTCCCAACCCACGAATTATTGTTGCCGTATCTGCAACAGGTTGTGGCGACCCAGGCACTGCAGTGTCTGTGGTTTGATCCCCAAGCACAGTTCTTGTGTCTTCATTCATTACCTCGACATCTAAAAACATAGGACGCGAGGCAACATAGCGTTGCATTGCTCTGGCGCCTCTATTAAACTACAGATAAAAAACGATTGAAAACGACATCAGAAAAAAGAAAAATAACGAACCTGCGACAATATTTTTGCACATTCGCCCATGGTAGATAGCTCCTTCTTCTGCGAGGCAGCGTCAAATCGATCAAGAAGGCGGTTCTCAAGTTCTAAAATATGGAGCAAAGTAAGAATTATTTCCAAGAAATATGACAGGCATACCATTACAATACTCCTGAAGGTTTGCCACGGCAACTTCTAGGCCGGGGTTCGCATTTGCAGTCCCTTTGACGGTGGTGCCCGTGGCACCAGAGCCAGTTCCTCCAATGTCTTCTTCGGCGAGAGCACCTAATACCAAAAAAATCTCATTATAAAAACGATGACTAGAGCTTAATGAAATACTTACGAAGTTTTTGAGCTATAGCTGCCGCCTCAGCAACACGGTTGTCGTCTGAGAAGAGTGGAGACAGTCCCATCAAGTCACCGGACTTTGTATTGAACTCCATCAAGTACTGTAGAGAAGAACATCACACGATTGTAATGACCACAAAATTCACGCACCTTTATCAGCTCAATTGTCTGAGTAGCCGTCTCCCGTTGTGCATCTGCACTCTGGAACAACAATTTACACATCAAATTCACTCGACTGAAGGGCCGAAAGACTCAACCTGCAAGTGGTCGCCAATTCGTGCTGCCGTTTGTCCAACACCCGAAATCCGATTATCCAGCTTACTGAAGCTATCAAACAAGCCATGAACTCCTTTTTCGAGCTACCAGAAAACGAGAGTGGATTGAGAACGGGGAAATAAGATTAGACCACGCAAACACTCACCTCGGAGAGCCTTGTTCTATGCCTGATATCCTCCGCGCTTACTTCTTTCTTCACTTTCTCAAGCTGCGCATCCGCCTACATTCAAAATAACTTGTTAGATCAAAGCGTCTCCGACGACATGAATTACCTGGAATCCAAGCTCAAGGAGCTGCTTTCGCGCCTCCTTAAATCGAGCAAGCAGCGCATTTGCCTCGGCAAACGCAGGCTTCACGAGCTTCTGGCCATTCGAAGCAGCATCCTCTTGAGGCGGCGGCTTTTCACCGTCTTCCACTTTCAGTATGTCGCCGACGAGATTGTTGAAGAACGCATCGAAGGAGAAATCCCCCTGGATTAGATCCAAGTCGCTCAACAAAGCCTACAATCCAATCCAGCGTACCTGGAAGTCTTTGATAGACAATGAGACTCCGGATTTCGCAGCAGATCTCTTGCCGCCACCGGCGGACGGCATTGTCGATCGATCCAATCTTAGCTGGGCGCCAGGCCTAGGGTCCCCCCTGTTTACACACAAAATGAGGAACCCTAATTCATAGATGAGCAATATTTCCCACGATACCTTCGCGAGCAATAAGCTGATCGAGCTGCTGGGAAAGAGGGGAGATCTCCACCAGGCGCGACGGGTATTCGATCGGATCCAGATCAAGGACTCCTTCTCATGGGTGTTCATGATCACGGCTTACGCCCGGATGGGCGATGTCGTCAGTGCCAAGAATCTCTTCGACGAAATGCCGCTCCGGAATCTCGCTACCTGGAACGCGATGCTCGCGGCCTACGCGCACCACGGCCGGATCGACGACGCCAGGGCTTTCTTCTCGAGATTCCCCTCCAAGAACGTTGTGTCGTGGAACACGCTCATCACCGCGATCGGGAGGGACGGCAATCCGGAGGAGGCACTGAGAATTTTCGACGCGATGCCGCTGAGAGATCTCGTGTCGTGGACGGCGGTGGTCGCGACGCTGGCTCAGAACGCTCATCTGGATCGAGCCAAGCAGCTCTTTGATGAAATGCCGGAGTGGGATTCGGTGTCAACAACGGCACTCCTGGCCGAATTCTCGCAGGAGGGAGATCTGGCGCAAGCGATCCAGCTCTTCGACAGCATTCCAGAGCCGAATCTCATCTCCAGGACAGCGATCCTCGCGGCCTACGCGCAGAACGGCCAGATCGAGAGGGCGAAGCAAATATTTGACGCCATGGAAGAAAGAAACCTCGTCTCGTGGAATGCGATGCTCTCGGGCTACGCGAACGAGGGAAAGCTCGATCTGGCCAAGGACGCCTTCGATTCCATGCCGGAGCACGACGTGATCTCCCAGACCGCGATGATCGTTGCCTACGGCCAGAGCGGGAATCTGGCCGAGGCCTCGGAAATATTTGCTCGAATGCCACATAGAACCCTAATTTCCTGGAACGCGATGCTCGTATCATACGCCCAGAGCGGGCATCGTGGCGAGTGCCAGCGACTCTTCGATCGAATGCCGGAGCAAAATCTAGTCTCTGCCACCGCTATGATAACTGCCTACTCCCAAGACGATGACCTAGAAAATGCCGAGCATCTTTATGAATCTCTTCCGGAGAAGAATGTTATTAGCTCCACAGCCATGATCTCAGCATATGCCCAAAACGGGCATTTGGTAAAGGCTAAACACTTGTTTGATTTCATGCCCATGAAAAACCTAGTGTCGTGGAACGCCATGCTAGCAGCATATTCACAAAGTTGTCAAGTAGAGAACGCCCACTGGATATTTCTCACAATGCCACAGCACAATTTAATCTCTTGGAACACTCTCATTGCCGCAAATGCCCAATTAGGGCAAATAGAAACGAGCAAAGCTCTTCTGGATTCCATGCCGGAGCGAAGCGTCGTCTCCTGGACGGCGATGCTCGTCGGCTACGCGCAGAGCGGCGACCTCGACCTCGCGAAGCGGATTTTCGATCGAATACCAGAGCCCGACACGATCGCGTGGGCAGCGATCGTCGTCGTCCACGCCCAGAACGGCCACTACGCTCAAACCCTAGAGAGCTTTGATGCGATGAAAGCGCTCGTCCGCCCCGACGAGATTTGCTTCTCGTTCGCGCTGCTGGCGTGCGTCCACGCCGGCAAGCTCGCGCTGTGCCGATCGATCTTCGTGTCGATGGCGATGGATTTCAATCTGGGCGCGAGGAAGCCGCATTACACCTGCGTTGTCGATCTGCTGTGCCGCGCTGGGCATCTAGACGAGGCCGAGGAGCTGATCGCGAGCATGCCCTTTGTTCCCAATGTCCTGGAGTGGCGATGCTTGCTGGGTGCTTCCAGGAGCTACCGCGATCGCGAGCGCGGCGCTAGGGCAGCGATTGGAGCTCTAGATCTACATCCAGACGATGGCGCGGCATACGTCCTCCTGGCTAACACGAATATTGGTGCTTGCTGACTCAGCGCATTGTTTGACACGTGGCTCCTGTTGTCCAATGGACACTTGTTGGAGAGAGAAAGAGAGAAGATTATTTAACGAGGAACGTTTTGAGGTTTTGGGATCGATCGTTTTGCTTTTCTTGTCGATTCTTCCACAAGGTTTGGTCGATCGATTTGCTTGCTCTCTTGTCGATTTTTCCGCGAGGATCTAGCCTCTTTAGATTTGTGTGTGAATTTTTGCAGGGAAATGGCGCAGCAGGGGCTGGAATCGATGGATTCCAAGCATAATGTCCAGCCGCTGCCCAAGAACTTGGGATTGCGGCACGCGCATTCGAGGGAGGAGGCGATGAAGCTGAATTTCATGGAGCTGGTCGCCGGCGGGCACGGGGTTTTGTTTGGCTCGCGGATTCCCAAGCATTACTTCATGGTGAAGGGCTTTGGCCAGACGGATGCTGGCGATGGTGCCGATCCCTGGGAGACTGGATCGTATGATCTAGCGTTGGAATCGGCTGGTATGCTTTCCCTCTTTCGATTGGATTGTTGCTGACACGCGTTCTTCCAGGGATCATGGATTTTAACATCACGCAGTACTCGTCAGTGATCCCTCCGGAATCCTCCAAGATCGAGTTCCATGAAGCAAAGCCATTCTTCCGGCATGGAGCGGTGATGGAAGCGATCATGGCGAGTATGAATGGTGTCAAGGGAGACAGAATCACGGCTGGAGTTGCCCGCATTCAGGCAAGAAATCACTCTGCTTTCTCCAGGAACTTCGATCCCATTGAAAGCTTTGGATCCACAGATTCGAAGAAAGCGAGACAACGCAGTGATCGGTGGCTATGCGGCGGAATACAGTGGCCACGCCAGAGAATCGGAGGCCAGGAGAATCCTCCAGAAGGATCTGGAGGGCATTTTCAAGCGGCGATTCGATCAAGAGGACTACGAAGTTTTCGAAGAGGATTTCATGATCCAAGAGAGCGAGGTAGAACAAGGCTTTGGGACTGCCCTAGCGGCCATATGCTTTGTCACTTACGTGGAACCTGTTTTCGTAAACATGTCATAACGGCACTTTCCGAGTATAGTAAACCCTCTGTTTTTAGGGCTCTAACGATACTTTCCAACTATAGGAACTCATACCATAAACCCTATTTGTCCCATCTCTTGTGGATATGGGGAGAGCTCTTGGCGATGGCGCGCTCGCGTCTCTCTCCGCGGGATTTCCACGAGCTCCATCGGTTCTCTGGCGCCGGGTGGATATTTCGGGAGGAACTCGTCGAAATCCCGTCGGTCTGGCGCTCGCAATGCCTGGTAAGATCGATCGGACTGGTATTTCCTTTCTCAGCGCATTTTCGATGGCGCGCACAGCAGGGAAGGACAATCTGGCGTCCGATTTCATGCGCTTCGTGAACACGTCGGGCCATTCGTGGCCGCTGGAGAATCGCAAGCCGACGCCGCTGATGCCGCCAAGTACGGTGGTGAAAGCTCAGGTGCTGCCGCCTTTCTCTGCTCACGAAATTTGCGATGAATGGGAGGTTCTAGATGGATGCGTTGATGCGGAATGACTGGCCTGAGGAGGACAGTGGGATCAAGACGGCTTTCGATTTCGCGATGAGGCCATTGCCTTATCAATACGACGAAATTCCGGATGACAAGGTAGAGTTCGTGCTGTCTATGACAAGTTCTCAAAATTCTTTCCAGCCAAGAGCTAGAGCTTGGGATGCCTCAGCAAGGGTGCTGACTTGTCAAGAGTTTATAGAGTCTTTCAAGTACACCAGCTATGTCCCAATGGTGAATTGCCTCGACTGGAAGGTAAAATCCTTTTATTATGTCGTTTATTTCTGTGGAACTTGCATGTCAGGTGCTTTCTCCTATGGTGTTTCGAGGTGAGAGGAGAGCTGTTCAAGCGATTGAAGTGAGATTCAAGACAACAACCGGAGAGACAAGGACGGCGGCATTCACGTTTTCTCTGCAACGAGTAATGCTCTTTGGATTGATGTCTCATTTCTTAACAAATGAATATAACCATCGCAGGTCGTCAATGGTCCTTATAAAGACTGCTGGATGGTAGCCGGTGCTCGACTAGGAGACTACGCATGAATTTGTACATACCTTCACAAAACGGGATCGTCCTTAGGAAAGAACGTCACGGCTCTAGACCTTGGCCCTCGTCTTCCACTCAGTAATCAGCTTATTCAAAGCATGGTGGGGCGTGAGTTGCTTGTGCTCCAGCCTCAGATTTGTCAAAGGTGATGTATCGTGAGCTTGAAACCACTGCCTAATCGCTTCGTACTCGTATGTGTATCCATCAGCAGCCACCACAGGCTCCTGCATTACTTCCTGCCAAGAATACAAAACGGAAATATCAGCAGACGATCCGGGAAAGAAAGCAAGCTTTACCCGAAAAATGGGACACAGGAAGATGGACGGTGGCACAGCTTTCGGATCCCCGGCGAGAGCTCTGTTGGTGGCATGTATCGCAGCACAATTCTCGGCATAGTTCCTGGCACCATCCAGCATCGGAAGAACAGTCTCGAGCATCGGTCTTTGCCGCCTCCTCATCTCAGCACACTGCAGAGCCAAGCAGGCAACTTCTTCGGCTTTTCCAACCGGCCAATCACCAGCACTCGAGTCCAGGACACTGCTAAAGTTCCCACACTCTATAGCTTCTTCAACGATGGCATGAACTCCAACAGGTCCTCTTCCCGTTAGCAGCTGGAGGATAACAATTCCAAGCGCGTAGACATCCGACTTTGGACCGAACAGCCCGGTTCTCTGGTACTCCGGGTCGATATAAGCGAAGGTTCCGACAGGTGTGGTGTCCCTGAAGTACGTACTGTTGATTGCGGCCAGTCTTTCTGGAACCAGCTTTGCGAGACCGACGTCGCCAACTTTGCTCACGTTGTTATGGTCGAGAAGAATGTTTGCTGGCTTCAGGTCCCTGTGAACTACTGGCTCTGGTCCGAGGTTGTGAAGGAAGTACAACGCTGATGCTACCTCGGCTGCTATTCGAAACCTCGCATACCACGGCAGTGGGGGAGTTCCGTTCTTACAGAAGAGCCTGTCATCCAGACTCCCGTTTGCCATGAACTCGTAGACGAGACAGCCTCTGTGGGAGCAGCAACCGAGCAGAACCACCATGTGTGGATGTTGAATCCTCCCCAGCAGCTCCACCTCGTGCTGGAATTCCTGCGTCCTTTGGAAGCCTTCCTTCTTCAACACTTTGATGGCTACGTCTCTGCCGTGGAGCTTTCCTTTGAAGACGAGGCCGTAGCCGCCTTCTCCCAGTTTGAGATCCAAAGAAAAGTTCTTGGTGGCTGCCTCGAGTTCGGCGTACTCGTACTCCTTGAACGTCCTTTGAGACAGCAGCGACAGTTCTTGGAGGGATTTCCTCCGTGTTTGCGGAGGTGGCCTGGAAGGTCCTTCACAGGAGTCATCCTCTCGGTCGGCAGTGCTGGAGCTATCAACGTCGAGCTTCGCCATGCCCCTGGACATCGTTTCTTTTTCTTCGACATCGGCCTTCGAGGTAACTGTAGCTTTTTCATGTAATGACCTGTAATCTTCCGTTCCAGATGATTCGATACCAGAACTGCACGAGCTCTCGGACCTGCCAAGCTTTGTCAAAGCTCCCCCATTCACAACCGAACTGGAAGAACTCCTACTCCCAGACTTGCTGCTTCCTCCCAACTTGTGGCTGATCAGCGCCATCGTTCCACTAGCAGCACCGTCACCGAGCTCCACAATCTCAATCTCTTCCGAGGACGCGCCTGTTCGATCACGAAACGGGGAAGAAAAGACCCGGGCGCCACTTATCTCGTCGAGCGGAGCATTCTCCGGAGGAGGGCTGGACGCTAGAACAGCTTGCTGCTGGGTGGCGGGGGATCCGGAGGAGAGAAAGCGCGAGAGGAAGCCGACGTTCCACATCTGTCCAAGGCCTTCTGGCAAACCATGCAAACGGGCAGGCGGATGAGAGTCCAAGTCTGCTAGATCCAAAGACACGTTTCTCGCTCTACGCTTCCGCAAGAACGAAGGCAAAAGGCTACCTTGGGAGGACGAGCTCGACGATCGCTCCGAGTCGGAGGTTCGCGAAGAGGCGGACGAGATCGACCGGGAATCGTCCAGAGCTTTGATCGGGACGAGCTTGTCCTTGGCGATCACGCAGACGGAGCAAAAGCTTGGCGCTCGAGCGGCGACGTATTCTCCGGTTCCTGGGCCAGAGAGCTTCCTGGAGGAGGAGAAGAAGAACACGAATCCTGTAAGTTTTGCGAAGGTTTGTTCTACATTTTTTTTACCGTGTGAGGCCAGTGCGTCCAGCGCTTCCTAGAACAAGCTTTTGGATTTCCAGTGTATGGATGAACTTCAAAAGGCCCTTTTGGACGGAATCATTCTCGACTTGGACGTAGTTTGGTTTGATCTGGAACAAGAACGTAAAAATCCAAGCTTGCATGCAAACGAATTTGGGAAGAACAAAAAGAAAAAAAAACCTGATGAGCGTCGCACAAGCTCTTGAAAACCTCCACAAATGCATTAATCTTGTCCTGCACTGTCTTGGCGTATTGAGCTACTTTCTCCGGCGATAGCTGCGCAACAGCGAGATTGCCCACTACAAACAAGACAACACACTTCTCCATAAAACTCGGGGGCAAAAAAAAAGTGGCACTGTGCATCCAAACTTGCCTGGAGTTGGAACATATCGGATTGGATGCTGGACGTGCACAAGATATATCTCATCTCCGGCACTCACGGCGTTGTCGAAAGCCCATCTCAGAGCTCCAATGCTGCGCTTGCTGCTCTTGATCCCCACAGCGACTTTTAATCCTCCCCCTCCTCCTCCTCCATCTTCCATGGCCTAGCTTAATCTTCCTCAAACTCTATCCATCCCGGCCCAAAAGCCCAATTGCGGATTCCCTACACCCCCGCGCCATTGCGACGGCTCATGCTCATCTATCCAAAAGCTGCTAGACTTCCAAGCGGCGAATCTAAGAGCCATTGGCCGGCGGCGGCGCCGCTACTACTACGCAGGAAGGCGGATTGCTACGATCCTGATTTGGTAGAGCTGCCTCTCTCCCTTCCAACATGACAAAAACTGGCGTGCTTCGGCGAAACTTGCGACGCAGACCGAGTTACTGGATCCCTCAGAATCGGGCGGCAGAGGACAGGCCACTTGGCAAGTTTGGAAAAGCCACGCGGTCAAACACGTCATTAAATACACTCTGCTGAGTCACTCATTGGACAGGTCTATTTTTACTTTGAAAATTCCCCTCTACTATATTTGCTAACTATAAAATAGCATTTGATAAGGTGGAGGATATCTGTGATATCCTCTATAACAATTGTCCATGTTACCAAATCCCATGCCATGATGCTACAATCTCCAAGTAACAGAAGAGAAACACATCTGACTGGTAGAAGCAGACCAAGTGACAAAGGGTTTCAAGAATATTTAGAAATATTCTTTTTGTTGTTAGGTTCGGTTAGATATTGTTTATTAATCTTTTTCCTGGTCTTTTTAAGGATTTAAACACATTTTAATTTTAGTCGAAAGCAATAAGCGATCCAAACAGGAAGTGTTGCATAATGGGAACCTTGTCCAGCACCTCCGCCCTGTACATCTTGAGCATCCCACTGTGAACCTTGGCCCAGCTCGCCACCCCGCTGATATCATCGATCATGGGCGAGTGCTCCGCCAGGGGGCCCTTCTTCACCTGCTTGACAAACCTCACGCAGCCCAGGTACAAGAACTCGCCCGAGAAGTTGTCCAGGATGTCCTGGTTGTGGATCGACTTGGGCCTCATGTGCTTGTGATTGACGAGCTGCGCGGCGCCAAAGATGAACGGCAAGAAGTGGTAATCGTCCAGCCCCCACACCCCGTGCGATCCCGCCGGCTCCATCCAGTACGTGGTCTGGAGCTTCCTCATGAGATCCAGGTAGCGCACGAACACGCGCGAGACGAGCGCCTGGTAGTCCTCGCGCGAGAACACTCCGATCTTCGCCAGGCACAGCAGGAAGGCCGCGAAATTCGCCTCGTGCCCGGTGCCATAGTCGATCCTCGTCGCGTTCCCGAAGCTATCCTCCAGATACGGGAAGAGCTCCTGGATCACTGGAGCGATCCCGCTGCTGGAGCCCCCTCCTCTCCCCTGTTCTAGCAATTCCGGAGGAATCAGCGATGCGATCAAGCCCGGGCCTTCCTGCTCGAGCCGCGCGTGCCACTCCCTGTATGCCGGATTGCCATACCTCGCCGCCTGGGTCGCGGGCGGGATGTCGTCCACCCAGCGGCTCATCGTGCCCAAAATCTCCACCAGCGCCGCCGTCGCGGCGGATTCCACGCACGGATCCGAGAGCTTGTGGCCGATGATCGCCTCGCTGAGCGCCACCACGAACCCTAGGAACTCGCGCCCCGCCGGCGAGGCGTGGAGCTTCTCCAGGTCCGCCGGAGACGTGATGCGCTTCCTGGGGCGCTGGAATGCGTGGGGAAGAGGGATTCGCTCGATGGCGCAGGATTTGGGCACCGGCGCGATCGATGCCGGGGTCATCCGGGGACCCAACATCGAGGGTGGCGGCTGCTGCTGCGGCCATGGCGGCGTGCCGCCATACCATCCATCGCCCATCGCCCCCGACTCCACTTGCCCTAAAATGCGATCAAGGAGAATAAATGTGGCAAAATCGAAGCCGCTAGATTTCGCGCTTCATTTCTTTACAAAAGAGAGAGTGAGAAGAGAGAGAGAGAGAGAGAGAGAGAGAGAGCTCCTGTATTTAACTCTCTTCCAGGAAGAGTGGCTCTTGGAATTTCTTGAGTGCATCGATGATGCTGGCAAACGAAGGTCGTAGTTCTGGATCGCTGGAACAAAAAAAGTAATGAAGAGAAGAAAATTTCGAGAGAACAGCTTACTTTGCCCAGCAAGACTCGATCAGAGCTCGCATCTTGGGGTTCACATTACTGGGGATTTGTAGCCTCCGGCCATTAAACGCTACGGCCGCTACTACCTGAAAAGAGATAGCTCGTCTTGATCAAAGAAAGACAAGAGACAATTTTGTTTGATCTACAACACATACCTGCATAGCAGTGAGTCCTGTCCAAGGCTTTTGTAGAGTTACAAGCTCCCATAGAACAACACCAAAGCTGTACACGTCGGACTTCTCCTTGGAAGGCTCGTCACGAAGCACTTCCGGGGCCATCCATTCTGGCTGGTGATTCCACAAAAAAGGAGAAACATATCAGTGGCGCCAGCGAACACAAGCTTTTACCGTGCCAGCGCCAGTCTGAGATGACAGAAACGTTTTAGACTTGAATCTTGAAAGACCAAAATCGCACACCTGGAGTTCCATACCGAAACGTCAATACTCTCGCGATACTTGAGCCATCACTAACCTTCACTGTTAGATATTTGTCCACAAGAAGGTTGGGTGACTTCAAATCACGATGGACAATCGCAGGCTTGCTTCTGTGAAGATAATTTACACCTCTGGCCTGAACAGAACATGGATTGATACACGACAATCATTATTTTTGCCATACCACATCAAGTGCCATGCGCAGCCGCCTCTTTTCGTCCAAGATTTCTCTTGCCTTCGGAGTATGCAGTAGTCGAAATAACGTGCCCCTGTTTCGTGACATTATAAGGACCAGATAATTCCAGTTGCACCACCCACCTGGGGAGATACTCAGTGACAATCGAAAGATGTGGAGGTTTCGTCACGGCACCCATAAAAAGAACAATATTCGGATGCCGTAGCCTTCGTAAAATGACAATCTGTAAAGTTTGGTTACTGGAAGGGTGTCCCAAAGAGATAAAAAATACTCACCTCCCTAGTCAGCTCTGACAGCAATTCTTGCGTTGCATCTTGATCTAGCAGGATCTTAACAGCGACGTCCTATAACAACCATAGTTCAGCTAACAATGCAATGGGATAGAAAAATTTGTACCGTTCCTTGCCAATCTGCCAAGTGCACAGTGCCAAAGGACCCTGAAGGAAAAGGAGCATGTCAGTTCCATCAACATAATGTAAATGGTTACCTCCGCCTAGTCGTTCTTTCAAAACAAGTTCTTCCCAGGGTATCTCCCATTCGCTGAAAGTGTCAGTTCGGCTAAAGGATTCAGCGTGTTGCGAAGGCAAGGTACCATGCTGATTACGATCCAGGAAATGCAAATCGCCGTTACTAGTTCTGTTGCTACTTCCGGTGGAACTGCTATTATACAGATGAGACTGGTCCGCTGAACATGCCACTTTCCCATCTGTTATAACATGCCTGAGAATAACGTTTTTCATTTTGCGTATTACCTCGATTATCAGATTTCTGAGATGCTTCGAACTCTGAAGCCATATTCCAAGGTCGATCATCGTCAGTTAGAGTCGAGGATCTAAAATCGGGAAGCCGTAAAGGTGACGTCACTGGTATCGAGTAAGAATTGAGAAACGAAGACCATTCATGTAGCTCTCCAGGAGAACCAATCAAGTCGACAAAATACTCCCTGTATGTACACGCAACGTCAAAAATATGTGAATCGCAAGACTTCTTAACCTTTCTGTGCCACAAAGCACCAGACAAGACGCTCCTTTGTCCAGACCGCAGTACTTACAGCCACGAGCAATTCGACAAGGTAGGCCTATGCTATCTGCCAAAAACTGAAGGAGCAAAGATTTCCTGATGAAAAAAAAAGAACTTCTAGAGCAATAACCTTGTAGAGAAGGGCACGGTGCCAGCAAAGTCCAATCCGGACAGTGCCAATGGGAATGACGGCACTATGCAAGGCATCCTTAAGCTTTCTACTCCTCGTTATCCAGTGAGAGATAAGTTCTCCTTCGCCATTTGATGCCTTGCCACTGCAAAAACAATCACTTTCGTTGCGCTGAATGTTTGAAAAATAATCCTTACCCCATGACGTTACTCACAAACTTCCCAAGGCGTTCCGGCAGCTCAGAAGCATTGCTGCATTCATAGCCAATTGCGACAGCGGTCTTCTCATGTTCGCACAGAGAAGAGTCGCAGCTTCTATCGATGTAAACAGCTTCCAACGAAACCTGAGAAATGTCGACTGCACGAAGAGCGTCCAGAGTTGGCATCCGCCCTTTGTCATCCACATCAGTGCACATCGCCCACACGTATGGATCTATTCCATGCACATAGTAGAAACCATCGTCGATCCTATCGCTATATCCCAGACTTCCGTGTACCTGAGTCAAGCGAAGGACTATAAGAACCACATCACTTAAAGTTCGCGAGAAGCTTACCCAGAATCTATGGCTCGTGAAGACGGCGGGATTTGGAGGAGCCACACGAACTGGAGTTGACAATGGAATCTCCTCTACATCAGCCATCATCCGAAGCACTAGCGCCATTTGTAAGTTATAGCCCGTTTCTGCCTGCTGCATCCAGCTTCCACACGGTTCTCCGGCTTTCTCCAGTGATATACAGTCGTTTGAGTCGAGTGTCCGGGGCGGAGATAGCGTGAGTGGTGGAAAGTCAGTCGAGCGAAGACTCTCTGTGAAGCTCCCTCCACTCGACTGTCGAAGAAGTGGAAGTATCCTTCCCCCATCATGCTGCTGGCTTGAATCACTGATCAAAGTTCCTCCTCTATCAGCTGATGATCTATTGGTAGCTCCAATGGAGATGGCGATTTCTTGGAATCTCCTAGTCCAGGAGGCATGATCTTCTACACTGACTCGCCCGCTCTCAACAGCACCTAGAAGGGGAGCTCGTTCGACTACGTCGTCGCTAATCTCTGCCTTGCCAAGAATCCCGACGCCAAAGCGCCCACTGCCATCATTGCCGGCTTCAAATCTGCGGAAGGATCCCAGCATACTGAGAATCGATGCCGCTGCTCAAGCGGAGCCGCATCGTTGCATACCCCTTCCGGATTGGATTTCTCGTCTGGAAGGCGCTGTTCTAGCGGCAGATTCGCGTCGGATAGCTACTCACCGGCTATTGAGAATGCGGGCGCTGGATGAGGCGCTTGACACCGATGTCGCCGCTCTCCGAGCCGCGGAGCGCCAAGAAGAACCCTAGACGAGCTCGAGGAGCCCTAATTTGGTGTGGAGGCACAGGCCACGACAGTACATGCATCTCTCCCGGTCTAGCCTCAGACAATTGTTTTTGCGACAAGTTGACGGGCCCGACGGGAAGAAACGTGCAAAACGCTGACGTGCTGAGCTGGACATCCGTTTAGGGCCACGTCAGCATCCCACGCAGCTTTCCAGTTCAGCTCGACTTAAATGACGGACAGGATTGACGTGCTGAGCTGGAAAATTCTTTTGAAAATTTCTCACGAGTGACGCCCTAGCTGGGGAGGGCGGAGGAGGAGCGAGCATGCGCGGATTCGCCAGTAACAGGAGGGCTCTCAGGGTTGCCGTTCCCAGGCAGGACACAAACATCTCGGATTTCCTGTAAGTTCTTCCTGGAGAGAGGCTAGATCGAGAGAGATTCGTCGAGTTCTTCGGGTTTCTCTAAGTCTTGGATTTGCTGCGCTAGAACCGCGAGTGGCACATTTCAAGATGGGGACATTCTCCTCAACCGGGATGGTTTGCGAGTTGTCACTCAGGAGCCCACGACCAGCGTAAGCCACACTTGAAACAAAAGAGAAAAATCGAGCTAAAGCTTGCAATGAACCCTCCTCTTCTTTTTATTTTTTTCCTTTCGGTTTTTCTGCTGTAACCACAGCCTGTGGATGGCCAAATTGCTCTCACAGACTTGGAAGCTGTCAAGGTGATTGGAAAAGGCAGCAGTGGAGTTGTGCAGCTTGTTCGTCACAAATGGACTGGACAAGTCTTCGCACTAAAGGTACTCGCGAGTCCTTTTAGGAGTTCTTTGCTCATAGTTTTTGAAGTTTCAGGCGATCCAAATGAACATCCAAGAGACTATGCGAAAACAAATCGTTCAGGAGATTAAGATCAACCAGTCCTCGCAATGCCCCTACGTTGTAGTTTGCTACGAGGCCTTCTACAACAACGGAGTCATTTCCATTGTTTTCGAGTACATGGACGGAGGCTCGCTTCTGGATGTGATCAAAGAAGTGAATGCTCTTCCCGAGCCGTATTTGGCAGCCATTTGCAAGCAGGTAACTCGAAACACTTTGATCTCCGAGCTTCAAACTTTTCTCTTTTTTTGTTTCAGGTGCTCAAGGGTCTGGTGTATTTGCACCTTGACCGTCGTATCATCCACAGGGATATCAAGCCATCAAACCTTCTCGTGAATCACAAAGGCGAGGTGAAGATCACAGACTTCGGTGTAAGTGCCGTCTTGGCAAACTCCATGGGACAACGAGACACTTTCGTTGGAACATACACCTACATGTCGGTAAGTTTCAAGTTTTCTTTCTTTGTTTCTCGAGAGACAGAAACTCATCGCTTGAATCTTCGAGCAGCCTGAGAGGATCAGTGGGGGCGCTTATGGCTTCGAGAGCGATATCTGGAGCTTGGGCTTGACGCTGCTCGAATGCGCGACTGGACGGTTCCCATACTTGCCTCCGGGCCAGGAGAATGGATACTTGAACTTCTACGAGCTGCTCGAGACGATTGTGGAGCAACCAGCACCCGTTGCGTCGCCAGAGATGTTCTCGGCCGAGTTTTGCTCGCTCATATCTGCGTGGTATGTCTTGAAAAACCTCCATTATTTTTTTCCAGTTGGATGTTTTGGAGCTTAGATTCTCTTCGATGAATTTTCGCAGCATCCAGAAGGAACCGAAGGATCGAATGACCGCTGCCGAGTTGCTGGTGAAAATTTTCTAATCGCTCTTCTCGAGATCTAACATTTTATTCTGGTGGTTTGTAGAAGCATCCGTTCATCCAAAAATACGAGAACGAGGACATCAACTTGGCTGTGCTGGTTCCCAGGCTGCCGCCCGGTGCTTAAATGTCGGCGTTACAAAAAAGAGTATAAAAGTATTTGTATTATTATTATTCCACCTCAGCGAATAATGAGCTGACATGGCGCCCAGGTGGCCTCCACGCGACTTCCCCTGACAGCATGTCATAGGCCCGCTAGAAACATCTGGCTTGCATTGGTCACCTTCGTTTCTTCATTTGTTGTTCGTGGCCCTTGTAGGGTTTCCACTGGTGCCTGGGACGCCCGGAGCGGCGGGATCGATGCGCTCCCCCAGCGCTTGCGAGTGAATCGGCTCTGGCCGGGTGCTAGAGATCGCGCGCCACGCTCTCACAGCCGGGATTGGGGTTTGGGAATTTCGGCTCTCGCGTCTGTCACGGGCGCTATTTCCATGGATCCAGCGTGAAATCTCCGGCGCCGGGCACCGCATTCTTCCAATGCACGTCCATCGGTGAGAGAAATCCTCCCCTCTCTGGTATTTGTCAGTTATATTTTCGTTGGATTTGCCACTTCCAGGTCTTGATTCGCGGCGAGCGAGCGAGCGAGCGACGGTGATGCAAAGGATGCGGCAAAATTCCATGTCGGGGCGATGGAGGAGCGCCGAGGAAGCTCAGGCGGACCGGAGAGCCTTAGCTACCAGGTTGGGGCTTTCAGAATTCTCGTCCTTGGCAGGCTCGCGCTCCAATCCAGACGGTGCTTTCGACACGGACATACCGGGTCTGTCGTTACTCCCGGCCCCTCCAAGCATGGATCATCTACCATTTAATAGTGGGTCGGGAAGATCATCCTTCGCCACTGGCACACGGATAGGAGGGGGATGCGTCAGCCATAGCCGGGGTGGTCCTCGAGGGGCGAGCCAAGTAATCCACCGGAGTAGTGGGAATTTGGAGATGTCGGCATCGGGACCCTGTGGTGTTACGGATGGAGATATCGACATCTTCCACGACTGTATGAACTTGGAAGAGAACGTCACCTTCTCCAACATGTTTGACGATCTCGACTTGGAGGGATCGGAGGTTGGTCCGGGCAGGGATGAGGCAGCATCGTCGGGGGCATTTGCTCAGCCGGATGCGGTCACCGCTACCATGCAGATGGGAGCTCCAAGTTACAATCCGGCCACCGTAACAGGTAATAGTTCTTCTAGAGGTTCCTCGTGCAAACGAAAGAGTTGCAACATCCCGTCGGCTTCTGGCTTCCAGGACGGCTTGAGCATGAGGCACATCCAGGATGGTGTTGGGGCTGGTCACCAGGGTGTGGATCTCTCGCAGAGGCCAGCGTTTATGCTACCTCCTCCATCAGGTGGTGCATCTTCGTCGAGGTCTGCAGCACTCATGGAAGGCCCCCGGCCTCAGAAAACAAGGCTCTCATCCGATGCTCTGGACTCGACTCTGGGGGCCTCGCTGTTCACGAGTTCCAGGATGCCAGATTTTGCGGGGCTCAGTGGCACGAGTGGCAACGCTGGCAGCATCAGCATGCACCCCTCACAAGTGTATCCAAGAGCTGTTCGGAGGACTTTTCCTCCTGGCCCTGACTCGTTTCGTATCAGGAGGAATGCGCTGCTCGACTACTCGCCGGGTCCAGATGGAGCTCCAAGTCACGGTCATCTGACATTTTCGGGTGGATCTAACCCACGGGATCCCGGTGCCGCGATGGCTTTCTCGGGAGGTAGCAGAGCAGCAAGGCTTCACGGTGGAAGTTCTAGCATTGGTGGACAGGGTCTGTCGAGAAGGATTGCCAGAGTGAGCTCCGGCAGAAGCATGACTGCCAGTGCTTCTCCAAGGGAACAGACGGAGAGCAGGATCAGAAGTGTCAGCATGGCATGCTTAGAGAATGGTACGTTCACAACTGGGAGCAACCGTGGTCCTGCCATTCGACGTGGAGTTGCAAACTATCTGCCTACACTGGGCGCACGGCACCCTCCTATAAGTGATGCAAGGCAGTTGCACGGTTACAATGGGCGTGCGACGTTTTTCACTCACGGACGAACCATGTCTCCACCACAGGTTCCGAGTTCGCTCATGGAAGCACCAGAAATGAGACCGCCACCTCCGTTTGAAGGCTCACAGACATTTAGACACCCAGCGTTAGCCGTGGGAAGAAGGGAACTTTCGGCTCTCAGTGAAGGCTTCATGGCTATACCGTCACAGGAGCTCGAGTGGGATCACCATCGTCCCCGCCTAATGGCCGGGGGATTAGCTGAGGTTCGTTCGCGACTTCCTTACTTTTGATGATTCCTTCTCTCTTTTTTTCTTTTCCAGATATTGCAAGCGTTGGAGCGCGTAGAAAGGGACGAAGATCTTACACGCGAGGTCCGTGCTTACAAGTTTTGGAGCATTTTTTGTTTAGCTAACGAGATTATATTGTGCAGCAATTGATAATGCTGGAAGCTACGACTTTCCTGTTTGGGGGCATTGGCCTCCACGACGACCACAGTGACTGGAGGCTGGATATTGACAACATGTCATATGAGGTAACTGTTTTAAACATGGAGGCATTTAGCATTGTGCTGTTACAGGAACTACTCGCTCTGGGCGATCGAATTGGAACCGTCTCGACTGGTTTATCCGAGGACACGATAGTCCAGCAGCTGAAGAGAACGAAGTATGCGGCTGCTTTAGCTCGGAGCTCGGAGGACAGTGATGTTAAGTGCTGTGTTTGTCAGGTACTTTCCCTTTTTGTTTTTGCGATTTTTGATCTTGCCTCGCTTGATCTACCAGGAAGAATTCGAGGAAGGAGTCGAATTGGGGACTATCAATTGCGGGCACAACTATCATATGGACTGCATCCGCCAGTGGCTAGTTCGGAAGAACTCGTGTCCAATCTGCAAAGCCACGGCGCTTCCTCAAATCTCGGAACCTGGAAGCCCAAAGTTACAGGAATCTTCTTCGTAAGACTAGAAAGGTCAGCCTTCATATTTGGATTTGAGCGCATCAGCGCCATAGGAAGAAAGAAAGGTCCCTTACACATTTGCTACTTCGATCGATGATCATATGATAAGAAACAAGGATAAAGAGAAAAAGAAAAACAACAGGTTTCAGCTCACTGTAGCTGGGTCAAAATGGTGCAATCGAACGTAACCATCTTTACCATCGCTAGAAAAACTGCGAAATAAAGAGTAAAATTAAGCAAAAAAAAGAAGAAAACGCATTACCATTTCTGGCTCAAAACTTCCATCTCACTGTAACTTGTAGTAATCCGGGTCAAAATGGTGCAATCGAACGTAACCATCTTCACCACCGCTAGAAAAACTGCAAAATAAAGAGTAAAATCAAGCAAAACAAGGTGAAAAAGGAGATTACCTTCTTCCATCCGGGTTAAATGCGAGCGCGTTGATGGGACCGAAATGCCCTCTCACACCACCGATCTCGTCGCAAAAGATCTACGAAGAGAAGAGAACTAAACTTTAGAAAACCACTTGGGAGTGTTTACCTTGTGGAAGAACTTGGCCTCGAATTTTCCGGCTCGTCGGTCACTGGTTGTCACTTGGGATGCTTCTTGTCCACCTCCAACGACAACCTTTCGTAAATTTATCAGCGGTCATGGAAAAGTAGAAGCTCTGCTCGCACTTACATGGTTCATGAGCGGAGAAATGGCGACAGCGTTCACTGGCCTCTCAGTGGAATAAGTCTTGAGCAAAGTGAGAGTCCTGGTATCCCATAGCTGCACAAAACAAAGTGAGCTCTTTGAGGAGAGCACTGGGTGACTACCTTCGCGGTTTTGTCTTGAGAGCCAGTTATGAAATGGGAGCCATCCGCAGAGAGCGAGAGTGAAGTGATGGCACGAGAATGTCCATTCTCCTTGTCGGTTTTCTTGATCACCTCGCCAGTCTAGAAAGGAAAACGAAGAGGAACAAAGGTGCTTGAGTTACAGAGCTTCCATACCTCCACATCCCAGATACGTATCACTGTGTCCTCTCCAGCGCTGATGATCGTCTTGTTCAAAGGCCCCCACACGACTCTGTTGATTCGCCCGGTTGGCCCCGTGAAAGTTTTTATGGATCCCTCTGAGAAGAGCTATAAGTTATGGAAGCAAAACAAAGAACGACGGAGAAAACGAAAGGAAAACACTTACGCTGCAAGCCACTCGACTCTACGCTCTTGATGTGAATGGCCGACACAGACTCCATGAAGGGATCCGTGCTGATCACCGCGAGCTTGTCTCCCTCGGCAAAATCCACAGCCCTGGCAGGTGATACGAAATTAAAGGTGTGAAGCTGAGTCCCAGTTTCCACGTCCCAGAGCTTGACACTCTGGTCGGCGGAGCCAGTGATCAACCGAGTCGAATGCCCTGTTCCCAAAATTACGATTTTATCCCTCCAAATTCTGGATCACTTACTTGAGACATCGCAACACCACACAGCTCCATTGTGGCCTCTGTAAGTCCCAAGCCGCTCACCATTGTGGCCGTACCACACAGTGGGATTGTGATCCTTGGCGCACGAGAAGAGCAGATCCCCGTCCCTGTTATACTTGAGGAACGTGAGCGGGCGCTCGTGGCCCTTCATGAGAATCGGCCTCATCTTAGCGAGCGCGCAGAAACCCTAGAACGCGGCTCGCTAGAACCCTAAACTTACTACACTTTATTAGCAAACCTAGCCATAAACCCTTAAAACAGAGCAAAGCTTTGTTAGGGCTAGGAGAATTTGCAGCTCTGGCGGAGGATGTGTAGCGATCGATCCACGAATCCGAAGCGCGTTTGCGCGAGGTCGAAGTAGAGGAGATTGTCGAACTGGTGGAACAGGCCGATGGAGGATGTGGCGGGTGGATCGCCGGCGCTTTGGATTGCGAGGCAGCCGATTGCGTTGCCGCGGAAGAATTCGATGACCCTGCTACCCACCAGGTTCCAGGGTATGTTGTTCCGGAAGATGAGCTGGATCGCAGGGAAAACAGGGCCGAGCCGGTTGAAATTCATGCCGCTCGCGTTGAAGCAAAGATCGAAGGGAAGATTTCGGGCAGGGACGATCGAAATGTTGAACGCCGTGGCGTATTTCTTGAAGGATTGCGCGATGGCGGCATAGACCGGGGTCGGGAATTTCGTGTACCTGTTCGTGGAGCTCAGGGTGAGGCCTCCAATGCCGGTCTTTGGGTTTATGGAGAACAGGGATGGGTCTAGCTTGAGATCCGAGAAGTCGGTCTGGATCGTCCGGAGATCGAGGTAGTAGCGTGATGGAAACACGGGATTGCTGACGAATGGGACGAACGAGACTAAGCTCGAGATGTTGATCCCGCCGATGATGATACTGGAGTCATCTCCGACGAACAGCGAAGATGGCGAGTCGGGAGAAAGGCACAGGGCGAATTTTCGAGGGACTGAGAAGGAGGAGGCGATCTGGAGCGGAAGAGCAAAGCTGTTCTTGCTCAAAGCTGCGACGCCCACAGATTTTCCGGCGGCGCAGCCGAAGATGGCGGTACCTTTGGCACCGCCAGGAGCCGTGAAGCCAGTCAGCGTCTCTTGGAACGCAGGAACGGATGTTTTCGGCGATATCGGCAGCAAGCACTTGTTTTTGGAGCAGTGGCCGGAGCATGCATTCGAAGAACAGGGAAGCGGGGAGAATGTAGATGACTTGCCTGGTTCGAAGGAAGAGTTCTTGCCGCAAGGGAGCCAGGATGTTTCGGCATTTAGATCGACTGCTAGCAGCTGCTTTTGCGGAGGGGTGCCAACGCTCAATGAGAGTCGAGTTCCACCGGGATTGAGTCGTGCTACGATGGTGGCTCCTGAGCTTACCGAGATCAACGAGAGAAGCAGGAAGAGATGAACGAGCGCCATCAGCCAAGCAGCTCTCTGGGGATTTCGCTATCTCTCTCAGGAAATGCCAGAGGTATGGATAACGCCCTCACTTCTTTAATGGTTTTCCATCTTTGCTAATTATAAATGGTGTAGGTTATGGCTGACAGCGTGGGGGCACTGGTAATATTGACAGAGAAAAGGAAGGAACAGGGACCGGGCTTGCTGCAATGGGTGTTACGAAACTATCAGCTATGGCTCCATCAATTTGGAATTGTTATCCTTTACATTCGACCACCAATTCGCTCCATCAAAAGCGGCAGTAAGAAATCTTATTCCAGCTACTTAATCGCAATGTTTTTCCAGTTGGAGAAGTCCCGCTTGCAATGGCCAACCAAGAATTGGTGAAGTCGGCTCGTGAGGAAGAGCGCCGGCGGCTTCAAGAAACTGTGAAAAAGCTTGAGCATATTTGCCTCGAGAATAAGGTGAGAAATGCTGGCGAATGCTTAATTTAGCTGATTTTCTACTTTTTATTTTTTGATTTCCAGGTTCGAGTAAAAATCGTATCCATTGTGAGCTCTGAGGGCTCTTTAGGCAAGGTTATCGTCCAGCATGCTGTCCAGCTTCAGGCCCGAGCATTGTTTATGATCGGACCCTCACAGAAGGGATTGAAATGGTACGCGATGTAGTTTTCGTAATGGTTTCTCTTATTGTTTTGTTTGTAGGAAGTTTTCCCGGCATTTTAGTACTTCAGGTTACGTTAAAAAGAACGTACCTCGCTGGTGCGCAGTGCACATTGTTTCACACTTCGGTAAGTTCTTGGTTATTTTCGTGTTGAATTCTTTAAAAATTGTGAGGAGTTTCAGGCGATACTGACGACAGTAGCAGCTGCAGTCCTCGCCTTAGCAAATCATCCTCACAAAGCAGCTTGTTTTCGATTAACCATTCCAAGCCTCTGGTTTGTTCTATAACTATTTTCACCATATACTAATATATTGTTCTACCTCTGGCCCAGGATGACGAACCTCAAGAAGACGACACAATTGTCGGTCTGGAGGACTGGCTAGACGGCAAGAGTGCAAACATTCTACGCTGGCGAGACATCACACAAATCGCCCTGGAGATCTCCAGTGCCGTGGCATCAAGCGCGTTAGAGCACGACGAGGTGACAGCGAGTAGCATTCTTCTCCGAGGTAAACATCTCCACAAGGTTCTAGCTTACGAGGGACACGAGATAGTCCAGCCCCTGGAGAAGACATCGAGGAACATATCCTCGTTTGAATTGCTCCTCCTCCAGCTGCTGGCGAGGCGGCCATCGCCGAGCAGCTTGGCCGAGAGGTTCCAGGACGCGCTGCGGCAGGACAAGCTGGAAGCTTTGCTCGATCCGGCCGCCGGCTGGCCGCTCAAAACCGCCAAAGAGATCGCGGTCCTGGCTCTCGAGTGCCGGAGGGCCGCCAAGGGCGATTCGAAGATCGAGGAGCTGCGAGCGCTACTGACGAGATCGCTCGGTGGTGACGAAGAGGAAGACGACGAAGAAACAGTGATGAAGCTAGACTTGGATTTCTTCCAGCGCACGACGAGATTTTCGCGCAGCGAAGATGGTTTGTACGTAGACATGGATTTCAAGCTCGAAAAGTAAAAATGAAGAAAAGAAGAAACCATCCTTTTTATCATGTCTTGCTGCTAGAGATTTGCTGGAAGCTATCGAATCTTGGAATTAAATTTCTAGTGTATTTTATTAGGCCTAGATACTTGTCACTCATGCAAGCACTTGGATTTAGTTGACCACGAAAAACCACTAAGGCAAAATCGAGGGCGCAAAGGAAGCGGTCAGTGCGTGCCTTTGGTGGCCCACAGGAAGATAGAACACTACTTTTCAAGGAACGAATTTGGGGCGTGGCTCGATCGCTGGCTGGGGAGAAACTCGCTGAATCACATCGATCGATCCAAAGGATTCCTGGACTCCCCCAGCAGCCAAAAGAATTCATCCGTCCACAGGTTTGGGTGTTTGATCGGCCGGGAGAATCACTCCATGGGCTCGAGAATTGGGTCGTGGATCGTGGCGCCGCGGCGTGATTCCAACACCGCGGCCCGGGATTCGAGCGAATCGGGTGATCGCGGTCGCAAATGCAGGGGCGATTAGAGGTTTGATTCTTGCCAGGGGATCTTCGAGAGAAGGGGAAGTGTGGGTTTCTGGAGGCCTGGCTTCCAGTGCTAATGGGTGCTCTTGGCTGCTCTGCAAGTGCTGGGCGATTAGTGAGGACGAAGAGGAGGACGAGCTCATGGCCGAGACTATGGCGACGGATCCTTGCGCCTCGCCAAAGATCCTAATCAATGGCTGCAGCCCCCCTCTCAAGAGCTGCATGAAGCAAGCACAGCAAAATCACGGGCTACAGGAGCCTCTTCTTGGCGGAGAACACGAAAGTCGCCGCGATTCTTCCGAGGGGCGCTGTGGATTGGGAGAAGAACAGGAAGATCGAGAGCCTGGTAGCGCGGAGGATAACGGAGAAGCTAAGGTAGAAGTAAGAGACGATATGGATGAAGAACAGGAAGAACAGCGCGAGAACAAGGAAGAACACTGCAAGAACAAGAAGAACGTCCAATGGAGCGAAGAGATCGCGGTGGTTAGAGAATACGAAGAGAGGTACGTCCATCAGATCCAGCCACTGTAGAAAAAAGACGATTTTTTCTTCGTGGACACTAGAGTTTCTTACGATGGATTTTTGTGGTTCTCGCAGCGATCGAGAGGACGATGGTTGTGTTCGCGGCAGAGAATGCAAATGCGCGATACAATGAAGGAGAGGAGAAAAGAAATTCTTGCCTTTAGCTTGTACAGTGTAAATTTGAGAAGATGGAAGTTCTTAAGCATTGTTGATGGTGTATATAAATTTTTAGGTCCACTGGGAGGGAGGGAATGGCGTCGAGGCGCCAAGAGCAGCGCGATCGATCGGCGGCCTCTCCCTCGGCGGCAGCGGTAGGCCACATTGATTTGCTGCGTGAATCCATCGATTTGATCATTCCATCCAGTCTCCAAGGGCTTCTTCTTCCGCGATCGCGACCGCGACCGCGCCATCGTCGCTGAGAGCTAGATCATCGACCGCATCATCCTCCAGGTCGCCGGCATTCGATTTTCGTGGCATGAGAGATTCTGCTCGCGAAATCAGCTCGCGCGGGTGAGATCCCGGTGTTGTTTCTCCTCCTTTGCAGTTCTTCTAAAAGATTTTCGCTTATTTTCAGGCAAAGATTGCCTGCCAGGAAGGGAGAAACCGGATCGATCGCAAAGCTTCCACAGGACCTTCTTTGCAAGTGTTTCTTAAAGCTCGATTCAATCTTCCAGATCATAAACTGCGCATTGGTTTGTAAGGCCTGGAGGGATGCTTGTTCGCTCGATGTGGTAAGAAGCTTCTCTTTTTTTTTTCCAGGCTAGCTTTAGACTTTGTTTCGGTGATCAGATGTGGAGGAGTATGTATTTAAGGTGGCACGGTGATTATAGACTCGACATCTCTCGGCAGCAATCTCCTTTTCCACCATCTGGATTTGGGACCTGGCGAGAGAGCTTCATCAGAGATTTTCCTCGAGGAGTTAGCTGTTCTGAGCGTTTGTGATTGGTTTCACTAATGGTTTTGCTTGTTTCCAGCGAGTGAGGCTACTTGAGAGGACTATCAAACAATCCTTGGACGCTGGATTTCTTCAACCTCTGGACGAAGTCCCGCACGGTACGATGCATTTGTCATGTTCTCGCTTTTCTCATCGTATTGGTGCTGTCTACAGTCTTAAACTTTACGCCTGGAAAGAGTATCCAAACGCTAGCGCAAGAACTTCAGCTCACTTTTTATTTGCGAATCAACAACGGGCAACGAATTCGATTGACAAGTGAGTCCCTTTCTTTCATTGTTCTTTTTTTTTTTTTGGCCTTGCCGCTTATCGTTTCTTTCTCCGGTTGGGCTCTTGTTTCCAGGAAAGCAGGCTGTCTTGTTCCCAGCTTCCACTGTCCTTCATTGTCCATTCAAATATTTGAAACGTGGGATGAAGCTCTTCTCCCTTGCTTCGTTAGAGGTGCACATATCTTTGGAAATTGTTTTTTTTTTTTTTGTTTTTTTTTTTGGTTCTCCTAACGACGCTCAGGTTATCGTTTCGAGTGACAAGCTTTCTCAATGTTGTCAAGTGGCTGCTATTGTATCCACACTGTGGCTTTGGCCGTGCTGCACTTCTGTTCGTTGTTCCTTGACAGCACTAATTTTATAGATGACAAAGAAGCCATCGCTTTGGGAAAGTGATTATTCTGCACCACCACTTAGGCTTGCAATGCTTTCTTCTAAAGATGTCGCTGGTGCAATGAATCTTACTGTGGGAACATTATTTGAGCAGGACAATACCGATGGAAATGAAGAGGTAAAGCGATTGTTCCCCTCTATTCATGATTAAGATTGTTCTAACAGGTACTATTTATCAAAGTTGGAATACATTTGGCACAAGTCATTTTCAAACTCTTCAAGTTCCGGCTTGAAACCCAGCGAATGCGACCAAATCCAGAGCCTTCAATCAATTTTGGTAACGTCGTTGGGAACTTTGCGAAATGACTGATTCTTTGATTGCAAGGTTATCACGTCAGCGTACAATTGCACACTTTCGATCATCTCATTTGGACACGAAACTTCCACGGGGTAAGGCACTCGTGTTGTCTGGAGGATCCTGAAATCGTTCGAATCACCCGCTCGCAGGTTTTGTGGGATGAGCGCGAATCGATGGCACGGGAAAATGTCGTTCTACCGCTCATCTCATCAGTTGAGTGGAACTTTCTCTCTTTTCTTTCTCATGATATTGAGATTCTAATATGAGTGGTATCCAGTTCGAGGTAGTGCCAAAGAAACTGAGCTTGCCATGGCGTAGTGAAGCCTTTTCTGGAACACTTGAACACTCGGCTATGGCGGTCATAACTTCGTGGGACGTAAGAAGGGAAGCCTTCTGGCAAATTGTCAAGACGTTACACCTCAAGCTGGTCTCGGTTCCCTCCGTGGAGGTACTTAAGTTCGTTCTAAGTTGCGTGTTTTTCTAAAAGTGATGCTTTGTAGTATGTGGAGCCAGGATTCGAGGGGCCACAGTTCGAGGCTACTGTGGAGGACAAATCCAAGGGATTGTCTGCCACTATCAAATGCTCATTGCCACTCGAGAATTCGGTAGAGGTGTTTGCTATCACCGATTTGAGGCTTTCACTGAGCAAGAAATTCGTGCGAGAATGGTTTGGGGTCAACATCTAGAAGCACACTTTCATCCAAGAGGAAGAACACGAAAATCTTATTGCCAGAAGGAAGGAGGAGAGGAAATCTTCTATCGACGCGAGCAGAGCCTTTCAGCTGACATCCACGTGGCAATGGCGCGTAACCGCTATTTGAAATTTTAGGGTTTATCAGCAGTGCTTATCCTAGGGTTTCTGAGCTGGGGCGGAGGAAATGGAGGAGACGCGCAAGAGCGCGAGGCTCTCTCGGATGCTCGAGGTGGCTTCCAAGACTATCTCTCAGCTCATACAGAGGTAAGCGCCGGTCTTTCGTATGGAAATCTTGTCTAGAATTTGGAATTTGCTGCGCAGCGAAAGAGATCCAGAGGATGATCCAGATTTCCTAGCTCGGAATCCTCGATGGGAGGATCAGCTCCCTCCTATCCATGGCGTGAGCAAACCAGACGATGGGCAAAAGCCCTCTACTGTCGCATTGATTGCTGCTCTGGAAATTCTTCCACGCCCGCCAGTCTCTTCCATGCCCATGGAAAATTGGAAAAGAGCTTATAAAGCAGTCAGGCATATGCTGGTAAGCGCTACACATTTCCTTTCTTCTTCTCGGCTTAAGAGTTTTCTTTCTTTTATCAGCTGCTGAGAAGGAAGGCAATGCGTAGCGCTGTAGGAACTGGAGCTCGAATCGAGGGTCGTGCCCTTGGGTTTTGGAGTCAATACAGCGCAACGCGTCTAAAGCTCTTCGTGCTTATCCATAACCAGTATGCAAGTAAACAAACTACCTTGTATTTGCTGATCCAGCTATGACAACCTTGTGCTACATTGGTTTCCAGGACAGCGGAATATATGCTGCTATTCCTCATCCTATCTCACCTTTTAGTGCTGATTTTCCAAGTAAAAGCTGGGAGCCGGGAACAACGATGGACCGATGTAAGGGATTTTAAGCTGGACTTTCTGGATGGGGTCATTACCACGCTTTATGCGTAAGTTTTTCTTTTGTAAGTTACATGGAACTGTCTCATCGTTAAAGCTTTCTTAACAGGATCGAAATGTTACTGAAGATCCTCTGTCTGGGGTTCTGCAAGGGACCTTACTCTTACCTTCGAAACCCTTATAACAGGCTTGATTTTGCCATTGTTATTGATTCCTGGTAAGATTCCTAGCTTCATGAGCGTATCATAATCTCTATGCTACAGGGTACACATCATTGTTAGAAGCATAACTGGAAGAGATTATTTTGCACGTTTGGCGGTCTTGCGTGCATTTCGAGGCCTTCTAGCTTTGAAGCACATCCATTTTTTTGCAGATGTCATTGTATGTTTTTCTTTTCTTTTCTAGCTTTGAACTGAAACTGCTATGCTGTGCAGGCTATCATGGTAGCAGTCGAAAGAAGCGTCCGTCCGCTTCAAAATGTTATCCTCCTCACATTTTTCATGTTGGTCTTCTATGCGCTGCTCGGGACACAGTTTTTGCAAAAGACATTGTCTCAAAGGTACTCAATTAAATTTTGCATATTGCACCACTAAGCTGAACTCCCCATTTCTGTTAGGTGCTTGCGAAGTCAGGACAAGCAACTATCATATCCAGAACGTTTTTGTGATAAGAAAGTAGTCGATGGATACAGTTGTCCCTCGACTCAGAAATGCTTGGTAAAGTTCCGCCGTTCGCAGTTTTCATCATACAACTTTGCATTTGCAGAAGTATGGAAATCCTAACTATGGACAAACGAGTTTTGATTACCTCTGGTATTCTTTGATCAGTATGTTTCAGGTTCGTTGCCTTTCACCTTGTGCTTTATATTGTAGCTCTTTTCCAGATTGTATCGCTGGAAGGATGGTCTCTGATAATGTACCGCGTAAAGGATGCTGAAGGAGAACGAGCAAGTATTAGATTTACTTTGGCGAAGTCAATTCTGCCTGACACTGCTTTACAGATTCATACTTCATGACTTTGGTGATTATTGGGACATATTTTCTTTGCAATGTGTTTATTGCTGGGATAAGTGGAGTTTTTCTTCGAGTCAGGGCGGAACATCAGGTACGTGACGATTTTGTCACTGGGAACACTAAGCGGGATTCAATATTCTTAGGCACTCTTGAAAAAATCTCGTAAAAGCACGACCTCCTTTTATAGCGCAACCGTGATGGCGAACATCCTCCGGGACGACATTATAACTGATGATCGTCATTTGAAATGGCATTTGCGATTTCTAAACAGATCCAGGAGAATTAAAAGAAGCGTCGGCCGAGTTTTTAGCCGCACTCACTCGACTTTTCGAGATACCTTTCACACTAGCTCAATGAGATTCAGCCGATTGGGCTCAAGAACTTATCAACGTTCATTAAGTGGAAGAGGTGGCAGAGCAGCCTTATCAGTATCCGAGAAATGCCGCGCAGTTGTTCAGCATCCAAGTTTTGATCGCGGTGTACTACTGGTTGTTACTGTTAACGCGATTATCTTATGTTTGTACAGATACGGCATGTCTAAGGAGTTCTTGTACACACTTTGTATCCATCAGCCTCGTCTTTTCCTTGTGACCGTACACCTTAACGTCAGTGCACAGATGGTATTCAAGCGGTGCTCCTTGTTTTGTTTGCAGCAGAATTACTACTGCGTTTTCTTGCTTACGGACCAATTTCATTTATGGCTGACAGTAAGCGAAAGTTTCAGTTCCTCAAATCTGAGCTGTGAATAGTTTTGCAGGGATGAACCTGTTTGATCTTTTCGTAATCGCAGTATCTTCTGGAGCACTAATCTCACGGACGTATCCAAATATCTCGGCAGTTCGAATCATGCGGTGGTTCTACTTGTCCAAGAAACATGTCGACAAACATTCGTCAGTTGTGGTCAGCCTTCTTTCTTCGAAGGTAATATATCAGCTAAGCTACTTTTTACAGGCCACGTGCATCAAAAGTGTTGGCTCACTGGTGGGTGTGTTCTTCTTTTACCTGCTAGTTATCGTTATATTTTCTATCGTGAGCATGGAGTTATACAGTGGTCAATACTATAAGTTCACGGACGGGTACCCTCGCGGACACCACGATAATATGCTCCAGACTATGCTTCTTTGGTTCTCGGTAACTACTGCTGAATCCTGGCCAAATCAAATGTGGAACTCCATGAGGCCCGGGGTGGAGTATAAGTAAGCTAGATCTATCTTTCTTGACAAATCATTTTCATCGTTGTTACGTGCAGTGGTGTGGCGCCTTTTCTGTATATATTTTACTTCGTCCTCACAGTCCATATTATTATGAACCTTATCATTGCTGTTATACTAGAGCATAACGAGCTTACTGACAACGAGAAAAAGAAAATACAGCGGGTTCGTGCATTTTCCAAACCTTGTTTTCTCTCTCCACAACTTTTCTCCTGCAGACCGAGCACATGAGAATGTTCAAGCGCATGCAAAACCGGGCCTCTACGGGAAGAGATAGCTGGGTGATGAACGCTTTTGAGCGAGTGAAAGCAGGCTTTCATTCTCGACGGGGCAGACAGATTGACAGAAACCTGGAACTGGGATATGACAACACGAGTTTGCTTCCAGGAGCAGCTTCTGAGCCAGCAGAGAGTGCTAGAGCTGGCTTGGAGGCAGTGTCGACTGCAGCTGTGGGAGAGAACATTACAGAAACAGAAAGGCCGCAAAGGATCAGTCGTGGTTCACAGATTCTCCAGGCTTCTGGATTTCCAGCAGACATTGGTGAGAAAAGAGGTTCGCGAACTGCGCTTCAGGATGCTGTTCTTACGCTTGCTGACATCACCATGCCTCCTTTCAAGGTATCTAGCAAGCTGGCTAGAAATCTAGGCAGGCGCCGCAAAAAGGAGTCCTTCCAACTTTCAGACTACGAGGCACTTGAGGAAAGCTTTCCCACTCTCGAGAGGCAAAGATCTTTTCTTGGAGAAGAGGGTCGTGTGACAGGATTTTGCAAGATGGTTTTAAACAGCAGATGGTGGCGCTGGTTCTCAATCGCTTGGGTCGCTATAAGCACTTGGCTTGTTATTGAGATGCGAGCCACTGGAGAGCCGGTATTCGCCGACACGGCTATCAAAGTTCTCCACAAGCTTGTGTTCGTGGTTAGTATGTTTCTCTCCGTGTTTGTGAACTTCACATTAGCACACGGGTCTTTCGCAGGTCTTCCTTGTAGAGTTTTCTCTCAGAGTTTTTGTTCAAGGCTTCGTATCTTCGCCCAGTGCAGTCTTTAACGACCCCTACAACATCCTGGAACTTTTTCTTCTGATCATCGACGCACTCAATCTTGCTACTTGGAGCGAGAACTCTCAACGAGCTATACATGCATTGACGGCACTGCGACCATTTCGGTTCATCTGTCGCTTTGGCGAACTCAAAAGCTTGATGTCGAATCTCGTCAAGACTGTTCCAGCTATAGTGGCCGTTCTGTTGTTTACGTTCCTCATCTTCGTGGTTTTCGGCTCTATCGGTGTCCAGTTATTCAGGGGCCTTCTTTACTCGTGCAACGATGCTACTATTACTCATCGAGCTTATTGCACTGGCCATTACTACAACAACATCGGAATATATGTTCCACGGGCCTGGACAAATCCTACTTTCCACTTTGACAGCATTGGTAATGCCTTCCTCTCTTTATTCGTTTGCTCGACTTTCGACAACTGGGTTACAAACTGGCTATACCCCGTGATGGATATCGTTGGCGAAAACAAGCAGCCGCAACGGGACAACAGTCCGGCTTATGCCATTTTCTTCGTGGCGTTTTGCATATGTGGAGGATTTTTCATAGTCCGGGTGTTTATCGGAGTTTTTATCAACGAGTTTGGGAAGAACTCGGGCTCCAAGCTCTTAACGGAGAGACAGAAGCTCTGGCGAGACATGAATCGTATCATCCAGAAGCTGGAACCGTCAAAGCTACCGAGGCCACCGAAGAATTACGTCCGGCAGCTATGTTTTTACGCTATCCGCAATCGTCACTACCAAAACACTATGATAATATGCCTGTTGGGATACGCTGCACTCTTGTCAACGAACTACGCTGGCCAGCCGGCTTATGTTTCTATGCGCCGCCAGAAAGCTCACGTTGCTCTTACGACGTATTTTTTATTGGAGTCCTTGATCAAATTTCTTGGTGATGAGGTCTGTGCGTTCTTAGATAAATGCTTGAGGTTCAAGTGTGTGTTTGCAGTTCGAAGTTTACAAATACGAGCACTCCAAACAC